ACCACCAAAATCCCTGAATACTATGGCAAACATCACACTATACTTTTAACGTTTGAGGAAAATGTGGGCTAGGGATTTGGTTCAGTGGCAGAGCACCTGCCTAGCATGGGTAAGGCCCGGGGTTCATTTCCCCACACTGCAAAAAGAAAAAAAAGTGGGTTATTCTTTAAAAAACACTGGTACCTCTTTGTATATGTGATTTTGAGCAGTACTCAAAGACAAAATTGTATCAGGGGAATCCACTTTGTAAATGAAACCTAATGTGTGTAACAGAGGAGTCCAGACCCCAATCTGTAAGTGAGGATACAAATAACCAAACTGATCACATACCACATACAAACAAAATTATCCTCTGTAACAGGGAATGACAAAGGGCCAGCGATTTTAGGAGACATAGATCTGACAGACTACTCAATTCTACCATTTTATAGGAAGACAGTACTTTAGTAAGCATGACTGTGTTTCAATAAACTTTATAACACTAAAATTACATTTTCAAAATATTCTTTCAACGACTTCCAATCAATCAAAAAAACTGAAACAACCAGTTGTAGCTCAATGGCAGTCCAAAACATAGGTGGCAGCTTGTAGTCTGCTAATTCCTGCTCTATAAAAACTTAGTATAAAGACTGCCATCCTTCAGTTTCTGTATTTGTAACCAATTCTCTTAATTCCATTTTCTCTTAGAAAAACATTCTATAAAAATAAGATGCCTCAGAAACTTTTACTCAATTATGTATAAAAAGTTACTACACTACATTCTATTTTCAGCTCATGATACTCTTCTTCAAATTCACGTGTGTGACACTGGGGAATCACAACCAGGGCCTCATGTGTGCTAGGCAAGCGCTTCTTGCTACAGGAAGAGAATAAGTTACACAGGCCTTTTTCTTCTTTTTGGTATAAACAATTAAAAATACTGCCTTCAAAGGGCTGGGGTTGTGGCTCAAGTGGTAGAGTGCTCGCCTAGCACGCATGGGGTACTGGGTTTGATCCTCAGCACCACATTAAAAAACTAAAACTAAAAAAATATATATTAAAAAAACATTGCCTTCAAAAAATCTGCACGCACATACATACACACACAAGAAATTTACAGTCTCAGTGAAGTGAAGGGGTTGTCTTTTATCCTTATAGTATTTGTTTTCCCCAGGGGTTTAACAGCTTAGCCCATCATGTCTGGACTTTAAGTGCTATTTGAAGAGAACAAAGCTTACTGTATAAAGGAGAAAATGGTTAAGATCCTATTATATAATTCAACATGTTCCAAAAATTGAATGACTGACTGAAATTTCATAATTCTGCAAGACTAATATCTATACACCCTCAAACCTGAAGAACTCAGATTTTAATGAATACATCCAAAAGGCAAAATGTAAAGTCAGGCACATTAACAGACCTACCATTAACTCAGCCATCAACACCCCCCCCCCGCGCAAAAAAGCAATCAATAAATCTTGACAAACCAATTAAAGATACCCATTACTTTACTTTTGTCTGCATTTTCTGAAGCACACTGAATGAAGTAAGTTCTTACACACAGATAATTTAAATCTGTGAAAGAAATCTGTTACCTAAACAGAATTCTAAGAAAGTCACTTTTAGAGAATCACACTGTTCAACTCTTATCTTTCAAACTTCACATTATAATGAATTAGGAATTCCCAACCACAAAATCTCCCAGCAAATTAAGTCACCAGAGATACTCAGAAAAATGACAAGGTGTGGCTGTCAAATATGACTTCGTCATAGAATTACTAACTTAATTACTAAATGAGTCTCAGGCATAGTGTCTGTCTTCAAGGCTTATTAATAATGAAGAGTCATAATACACACAGCAAGGCTTAGGGAGTGAATGTATTTCTAGTATTTGAAAATCTACATTAATATTAACACTCCCAAAATGAGAACATAAGCCACTTGAGAAAGCTCTGTGTCTAATCTTATACCTAAGAAGATTCTATAAAGTTAAATTTTTAAGTCTTTTGTGAATTTATTTTCAAAAATAATTCATATTTTTAAAAAGACTCCCCGAAGAGGAAAAATTCTACCCTTAACTTTCTTTAAAAAAAAAAAAAAAATCACACTTTAATTTGTAGTCTGCATCCTCAATTTATAGACTTGGAAAAGTTATGAAGGTCTAGCTTTTATGTTTTGTGGCAATACTMCTAAGGACTTAAATCTGCTTGGGTTAGCAAAACCTTCTGGACAGTCTAAAACCTCTTAGACTTCTATGACCAACTAGTGTTAGCACCTGACTTCCCATATTTGTTTTGTCTTTTAATTGAGCACATACACACACACCCATCTACTGTTAGAACAGTCCATTGATATTAATACCTATATGAATCCCCTAGAAGTCTGATAGAAATGCAGACTCTCAGGCCCCATCTCAAGACCTTCAGAATTTGAATCCACATTTTTACACACACCTCCTAGATTGAGAAGCACTGTGTTTAAAATCAAAACTTCAGTCTAATGTTTGTATACAGAGAGAATAAGAGTTTTCAAATGGACATACGTTGTGGTAACAAGCAAATAAACCCCAACCCACAACTGCATGCCACCATACAAGTCTAACCCTAATAATGCCAATAACCGCTGTTTTACAACTCCTTGCTTAGCTAACAAACTACCTCTGCAAATCAGTTACGAAGAGCAAGACGAAGTCAATGTTGCAAGGAATGGCTTTAGGAGAAAATGTTAACTCTGTAAGAAAGCATTAAAAACAGCACTTTTTAAAAATTATTCTTATTCCTTTACCTAAAGAAATAACAACAAAAAACACGGCCTCACTTACATATTCAGATTTGTACCATTTTACCCCAGTTCTGATTCTCCCACTTATTCACGTTTTTACAATGCTTAAATATGTAACAGAATCTGACTACCTTCAAACTGTACAGGAAGAATGAACAATGGGCAATGTTAGAATTATTATATTATTATTATTATTATTATTATCATATTTTTGACTGTATTACTGATGAAGCATTGACTTTGATTTAACCTACATTGTTTAGAATTAATAATAGAGCTTCACATTCTTCAGCATTTTGTTTTTACTGGGCTAGGATTGAACCCAGGGCCTCAGGCACACTAGGGAAGTCCTTTACCACTGAGCTACATTCCCACCTTAACAACGGTTTTCAAACCTATTGAAACAGCAAAGAACTTTTAGCAATGGACTCAAAATGAATGGATTCCATAGTACCACTTGAATTTTCACCAAACAGATTTACCATTTATGAAAAAAATTATACTACAGTTCTAATTGCCACTAAATTCAACCTTAAAACCATAAAAAAATTAAGAAACCACATTTGAGTGTGATCAATATCTGCCATTGTTTTATTTAAAYATTAGAAAAGAGATGAAAAACAAACTTCATTTTAATAATGGAACAAAACATCAGAGCTGATCAAAAATTTTTTTCTTTTTCTTTCTTTCAGGCAATTTCAGGAATCATTCAGGGAAAATCAGCAGAAAGTTTTCAGGCAAGAATACTGAAAGGTGATTAAAATGTATGCTTATAACCATACCAAGAAAAAAGATACATAACAAGCTGGCCTTTTCCCTCAAAATAGTATTTTTAAACATATCACTGAACCATAATTTGTTTTAACTAATACCTGTGCTTCTATCAAATCCAATAATTTAATAAATGGTAATCTTTTTGGTTATATTTTCTGCTTTACTATTCAGCTTCCTAAGGACTTCATTCCACCAACAAATTAATTTAGTTCATTCACATGTTAAGATATGCAGTCATAAAATGAGCTAATTTTGACTCATGTCTATGTCTACTGTTAACACTTACCCCAAACATACACACACACCTTTTTATTCACAACTTTTCACTAAAAACTCATGTATTTTTTTCCCTTAGTTTTCTCCAAGCTACAAACCTTAGTTCAAAAATCAAAAGAATTTCTTTGTAAAACCATCGCTGGTGTATATATCATATTTAGATCCAAAAATATCTATATTTATGATTATAGAAAAAAAAAACTTTCATAGAAGTTGGATGAAGTTCCCTGTTGAAAAAAGGAGACCTTACGTAAATTAGATGCAAGGATTAAACTTTCTATGACTTACTGCAGAAACATGCCTTTTCAAGTAGGGATTAGGTTCTGAATCAAGTGTGAAACTCACTGATATATTGAGAGTAAGTGAGGTACATGCTCAATTAAAAGACAAAACAAATATGGGAAGTCAGGTGCTAACACTAGTTGGTAAAAATTTACAAATAATTATACACACCCCCTTTATAAAAAATAGGCAAAAGATACACGTATAAAAACAGTTTCAAATTTCTTCCAAGTTTAATTTTAGTTAAAGATGAATAAAGCAGATAATCTCTAGACTTCTTATAGTCCAACTTGCAATGAAAATATTCATTCTAACTCTCCATTAAGAAGAAATGTAATGAGGCACGCTTTCTAGTGGCTGGTATTCGCTTCCAAACCAAAAGAAAAAAAAAAAAAAGCTAAGGGCAAGAATTTCAAAGCTATCGTGTAACATTTTCTCATTTAGAATACTTTAGAAAATATATATATATTTTAAAAAAAAAGTGGTACTGAGGATTGAACCCAGTACCTGTGCATGCTAGGCAAGCCCTCTACCACTGAGCTGCACCCCCAGCCATTCTTTATTGTATTATTTTGAGACAGGGTCTCACTAAGTTGGCCAGGCTGACCTTAAACTTGTAACCCTTCTGTCTAAGCCTCTGAAGTCATTGGGATTACAGGTGTGTGCCATTGGGCCTGGCTAAGCTCATGTTTTAACTATTAATTAAATATAAAACTAATTGTTGTTTTATATGCAGATACATAAGTCTACAAATATCTGCAGCAAGCACATGAAGCACTTCTTCTGTCCACACAGATATTTCAATATTAAATATATACAAAATGTTTCTAGTAAGGAAAACCAAGGTATTCACAAGAAGCTGCAGAAAAATTCATGCAATTAATGAAGGCTGAAATTTATAAATTAAAAAGTCATCTACACATAATGTACAAACAGTCATGCATTTAGAAAGGAATACTATGTCTAATAAATTTTCACAGGAAGCTGCACAAATACTTGCTAATGCAAATGAAGGGAATCTGAGAAATTCTACAATAATATTTCTACCTCAAGAAATTAAAACTTTTGGTATTTTTCCCGAAATTGTCCAAAGGTGACATTTGTGGGGAAAAAGTCCCAGTTTTTTTACATCCCATTTGAGGCCTTTACAAAAAACAAATTTCCTGTACCTCAGGCACAATATATATATGAACAATTAAACAAACAAACAAACAAACTATAAATGCCTTTATCAGTTTAGCAAAAATCAAATAAAAATTTTCAACATTAAAGTATTTTGCATTACATGTTTAACCAAAATATGCATGGAGTTTAAAAATATGAAGTAAAATGAATGCTTGTTTCTGCTTTTGCTTTCAAATCTAAATAAGGTATTTAACATTTCTTGAAAAAACTATAGCAGCCAAGAAACAATGGGGAAAAAAAATCTTACTTAATGATCTTATAAAACTGAACTTATTAAGTCACTGCCCTTCACAGGTTTGAAATGTTATCAACCTTGAGGTCTCCCCTTTTAAACTGATTGATAAAACAAGTCTGAAATATACCAATCAAGAAATCTGGGGATGTTTTAAAAAATTCAATTTCTCTTAAAACACTAAATGGAATTTTCATGGGCTGTTGATCTCCATCGTGACTGCAGATTTTTTATTATAGAGTTTGCCATAGTACCAAGTTTCTCATGCATTTCAAATAGCTGGCTTCCTGAATAACTGTGGAGATCTTCTGCATCCAGTTGAAGAGCAAGAGCACTAATCTGTGYAACAAGATTTTTAGATAATGGAGTTTCAAAGGGAACAGGATCAAGTAAATCTAAAAGAAACAGAAAAAAGAACACATTAAATGTATACCAGTTAAAAAATTAAATGTATGTGTGCATGTACATATTCCCTATCAAATATAATAAGTTTGTAGGATTCAATTTGAGAAAGTAGAATGAGGGGTCCCTCTTCTCAAAGGAATAAGACAGACACAAAAATCTACTATGACATATTATTCTGTGCTAGTAAAGAAAAGACTTCATTTTATTATCATAACTGTTAACAGAATATATATTCTATATCCTTACTGGAGATCTTAAGGACTAAATGTTGACAATTAAGAAAAAAACACCTGAAATCAAAGAAGTTTTTCATGTACTTGGCATCAAGGAAAAAAATAAAAAACAAAAAACTTGTTGAATAAGGCGTAATTAAATTAAAACTAAAAGCATAACAAAATATTTATTCAAGAAAATCAGCTTGTCTTCTACATAAAATCGTCACACTATGCTAACATATACCTGAGGCAAGTCGTTCTTCATCAGTTGAGAGAGACTTATTTTCTATTCCATTTACTGCTTTTTCAGTAATATCAAAAATTGGAATCTCTTCTAATCCACGAGATTTTACCTTGATTATACAGAGCAGTTAAAAACAAAAATCAGAAGTTACTTTTCATAGCAATAATGGTACAAATATTGGGAAAAATACATTATATGGAACATTATGGTCCAGTCAATCATACATTAACTTTAAAAAAAAAATTAACTTTAAAAAAAATTCTACTTTCAAAAAGAGTTACCTTATAACTTAGCAATTCCAAATTTTTATATATATATCTCCAACATAAATGAAAACAAAGCCCATACAAAAATTTTATGAATGTACCCAGAAGCACTGTTCATAATAGTAAAAGGTGAAAACAACCCCAAATGTCCATCAACAGAGGAAAGGCTAAACAATGTGGTATATCTATACTATGGATCATTATCTTGCCTTGAAAAAGGAAGGAAATTTTGGCATATTCTATAGCAAAGAAACCTGGAAATGATATGGTAAGTGAAATAAGTTAGGAAATAAAGGTGGTAGCCTCACTTACAAAAATGTCCAAAATAAAATCTATAGAGAAGTAAATAAGTGGTTATCTACAGACAAGGGATAAAAGTGACAACTAAGAAATTCAGGATTTTTTTCTTACAGGGTTTAAAACCACCAACAAAAATGTTCGAAAATTAGTTTATGGGGATAGTGATGTAACTATGAACATAGTTAAAAAAAAAAAAAAAGGGGAAAAAAATCACATAGTAGATTGCTATGGTAAGTGAATTTCAGAAATTCAATCTATTAGACTGAAAATTACTACTTTCTGGTTTTGTTTTTAAGTCACAAGTCAAAAGATGTTTTAAACATCACAATTTTAAAAAAATCAAGGACTTTATAGCAGAAGCCTTCATATTTTCGCCTTTAGTATATCATTTATTTGCAGTGTCTAGTAACATTAACAGATAGAAAGTCTAAGTTTCAACCAATTCTGTGAACCCTGAAATTATGCACAAAATTTTCTATATAAGTCTTTATTGGGGGAAAGAATCAGTTTTCATCAGAAATATGAAAATTGTCCTTGACTCTGTATGTATGTATATTGTGTGTATATACACACACACCACACACGTGTATATATATACATGTATGTGTGTGCATGTGTAAAATGCTGGAAGGAAAAACACAAATAAGTAAAAATGTGTTAGACATCAAAATCAAAAGTTTTATGACCTAGAAAGTTGTAAAGCTTTCCATAAATGTTTAGATTTCAGTATCTAGGCTTTAGAAAAGCAGCAATGAAAATCCATCACCATCTGGTAAAAATCATAAAGGGATACGAGGACAGAATTCAAAGCAGAAAAGATAATTTGAAAAGAAATCTGAGGTGCATTAAATAAAAACAGTATAGCCTGGCGCAGTGGTGCACCCATGTAATCCCAGCAGCTTGGGAGGCTGAGGCAGAAGGATGACGAGTTCAAAGCCAGCCTCAGCATCTCAGTGAGATCCTAAAGCAATTCAGCAAGACTTTGTCTTTAGAGGGGAAAAAGGGACCATAAAACGGGATTTTAAGCAACAGGAGTTTAAATATAAACTTCTACAACTATGCTATTGGGTCACTGATTAATACATAGTTTTAAGTACCACCTGAGTTTTTACCTGCTGTTCATGATATACTCTAAGAGCCTTTTTTACATTAGAAACTTTGGGAGACCGGATAGGAAGAGTTTTTATTTCAGATGCTGTAAGAGAACTCAGATCGCCAATTGTTTTTATATTCTTGGCTCTGATAAGTTGTCCTAGGCCTCTTGCCCTGAAAAGATGAGAGAAAAAGGAGAATCAGTTGTCCGTATATACTACTAGTAAGGGCTTATTCGGTTTAATTTCTCCATTTAAACTCAACCATAACTGACTTTAAATTACTCCCTTTGTTTTAATGTGCCCTCTCTCCCAACTTCTATAATCAGAAATGGACTCAGTATTTGTCAGTATTTGTCCTTGGAGGAGTTTAGGAATACCTCATGTCCTATTGTCAAATGATAGGGCAAAAGAGAAATTATCAAAAGATCTTACCAACTATCTTAAAATACAGTAATCTAGAATTTTCTAATCAAAAATAATTTAAGTTTCCAAGACTAACAATCAGAAAAATTTTAATTAAAAACTCTTAGGTTAATTTTTTTTTTAAGAAAATACCCACCAAAAATATAGGTTTTCTTTTTTTTTTTTTAAAGTTTTTTAGTTTTATTTATTTTTTTTTAAAGAGAGAGAGAAAATTTTTTAATATTTTATTTTTTAGTTTTCGGTGGACACAACATCTTTGTTTGTATGTGGTGCTGAGGATCGAACCCGGGCTGCACGCATGCCAGGTGAGCGCACTACCGCTTGAGCCACATCCTCATCCCCTCTTTCTTTTTAATTTTTTTTTTTTTTTAGTTGTCAATCACCTTTATTTTTTTTTTTTTTTATATGTGGTGCTGAGAATCAAACCCAGGGCCTCACACATGCTGTGCAAGCACTCTACCAATGAGCTATGACCCCAGCCCTCCAAATCAAGGTTTTCTATGTGAACCTCAAGCTTCACATAATGACTTATTACCAGGGCAATCTTAGTGGATTAATCTTTGTAAATTTTATTTTATAAAACAGAAATGATATTCATACACCAAGAGCAGTGGAACATACCTCTAACCTCAGCTACTGAGGAAGCTAAGGCAAGAGGATTGCCAAGTTTGAGGCCTTCTTGCGCAGCTTAGAAAGACCCTGTTTCACAATAAAACTTTTAAAGTGCTGAGGTGAGGGCTGGGGATGTGGCTCAAGCAGTAGTGCGCTTGCCTGGCATGCATGCAGCCCGGGTTCGATCCTCAGCACTATATACAAACAAAGATGTTGTGTCCGCCGAAAAAAAACCTAAAAAATAAATATTAAAAAACTTCTCTCTCTCTCTTAAAAAAAAAAAAAGTGCTGAGGTGTAGCTCGGTATTACAGCACCCCTGGGTTTGGCCCCAAGTACCACAAAACAGTATATATTCCTTAAGGAATTGGTAGTAACGGTAAATTAAGATAATGTATATAAAAAGTTTCTACATAATATCTTAACAAATTATTCACAAACATTAATTTTATTAGCATAAATGATTTTATTATTGCCCTACAGCCTATCATTCAATCTACATTTTTATTTATTCCTGAAATAAAATATATGAAAGGGATACATGCTAATAAATTCTAACTAGGAGAACCTTTACCATTCAAATATTCCTGTTACTGAAGTGGCATCTTGGAATATAACCCCAAAGCCTAAGTAACCACTTACCACATATTTGATGTTATCTGAGGCAAAATAATGTCAACTGGTGCTGCACAGTTCACCAAAGCTGGGTAAACACTTTCTGTTGGGCAAGGAATGGATTCTTTGGCCATTTCTGTTATCTTAAAATAAATTTCAAAAGCTATTAAATAGAGATCACTTGACTAAACACAAAAATATAAAAAGTTACATGAAAACTAAAGCACTTCTTACTAAACACTTCTTTGAGCTCTTAAATTTAGAGCTACGTGATCCTGGGGACAGAAATCCTTTAGCTGAAGTGGTATTATGCTAGACAAAAGGAGAGAAAAAAAAGACTCACTTAGACCCTAGACAACTACAATTTTAATCTTAATCTTAGACTGTAATCACTGTTTTAAAATATCAGAAACAGAAAAGAACTGCTAGTTAATCAATTACTTGCTGAATGATCATTGCCTCTTACTACCTTTTCAGGTCTACTTACCATGAAGCACACAAAGAACCAAACCAACAAAGTTCTATTTCATAAATAATCTTAAAACAAACTATACACATATAATTCTAAGCACATATAGATATGTGCATACTGTAACACCTGTTGCTTACCTTAGATTGTGCAGTAGGTGATGTTTTAACATTTTTCATTATGGGAGAACTACTTGAAGAATGGGACCTAACAATGGAACATCGCCTATCAATGTCATCTGCCAATCCTGCCTGGTATATTGGATCTGCAAATGAGACACGTCGAACCTGAAAACACAGGTCAGATTTTAATATTTAACAAAACTAAAGTCTTTAGTCTTTAAAGTCTTTAAAGATGACACCATAAATTCTCATCAAGAGGTTATCCAAAAGTAGCATGTGGGTTTGGAAGTCTACAGCATATAACTGTTCATCTTAGTGACTACTTTTATTAATTATCTATGTTCTAAAGCTGCATAGTTTAGGTTGTGAAACTAGGATAGTAATAGAAACAATGAATTTGGTGACAATGAAACTATACAATATGATTCTAATAACTTCATAAACAGACTGGAGAAAAAAAGGTAAAGAGGAAATAAAATACATAATGGACTTTTGGTGTATATTGTTAACCACTACTATAATTTCAATTAGGTAGCAATCTTAACCTTAGGCCAGCTTGAGGAAACTTAGTCTCTTCTATATATAAATTATATATTATATAAATAATATATTAAACTAATTGATAAGTACACAATAGAGAACTCTGATAACCATTAAGATATTATTACATGTTTTCTATTCTTGATTTCCAAGAATACAAGATGCAAGTTCTATAAATCTGTCACAGAAAATACAGCATGTTGTGTTAGGGGTTTGGATCAGTGCATAAGCACTTGCCTAGCCTGAATGAGGTCTGATTCAATTCCTAGAACTGCAAAAAGAAAAAAAATACACACACACACACACACACACACGTATGTACATATATGCAAGCACTATCTCTGTTGCCTAAATAAGTATTAAATATAAACTTTATCAAAACTACAACTACTTAAGCCATGACTGAGTATGATGGCACATGCCTATAATCCCAGCAACACAGAAAGCTGGGCAAAGAATTCAAGCTCAAGGTCAGCCTTGGCAAACTTACAGAGACCTTATCTCCCTCCCTACTTATGCAAGGAGTGGGAAGGAAAAGAAAAGAAACTATTAAGTTGTATAGGCAATTTAAAGAACACTGACATGTTATTTCCAATGCATTTTATCTTCACAAAGTTTTCAAGAATGTCAATGGCCTATTAAACTTAAGATATTAAAAAGAAACAAAAACTAAGTAATAGCCTTAGCATCTAAAGAGGGGAAAAAAAAATCTCAACAGCCGTTAAGTTTTCTTAAATGGATCAATCTCTCAATTCTCAGCAAAACTTTCAATATATTTTGGAAAGCTGAAAACTACTCATAGAGATTAAGAAGGAAAGTTTTTAAAATGTGCTTGCTTGGGCTGGCTATGTGACTCACTGGTAAAGTGCTTGCCTGGCATGTATGAAGTCATGGGTTCAAATCCCTAAGCAAGTGGGTGCGCGCACGCACATCACCCCGCCCCCCCCAAAAAGTGCTTGCTGAAGGGGGGGGGGGGAATCAAAGTATCTTTTTTGGTATACATTCACATATCTACAAGTACATCTGACAATAGCAGATTCAATTTCAAAATTAAGTTGCAGAATGTCAACACCTTTTCAGAACATCTACTTAGTTACATAGAGGAAATTGGTCTATGTAGGCACACCTCACTTCCTCTTTCTTAAAATTCATTCATTCAATAAACTGTGAAAGAAAAGGGTATAATCTAGACACCCAGAATCCAATTTTTTTTTCTGAACCAAACAAGGTATGGCTTAGTGCAGGAGATGGCAATATAAATAAGAAAATAATGAGAGAGGATCTGTGGGTGTAGCTCTGTGATAGAGCACATGCTTATCATGTGTGAAACCCTGGACTCAATCCCTAGCACTCCAGGAGTAGGGGTGGGGATTCATAAAATTGATAAAGGAAGTCCAAGGAACTTTCTAAATCATCATCTAAGGATCTATATAAAAACTTAAGTAAAAGAGACATTATGTCCCAGAAAACATTAAGTGCTAAACCTGTATTATCAATGTCACCCGAGTTCCTCATGTGTTATGGTATGCAGCGCAGAAAAGACCCTAAGAAGAGGTCTTACCAATTTTGCTAAAGGTGAACAATGTACAGAGCTGCATAAAGATCTTTAGTGTTGTGAGATGAAGGAACATCCTGAAAGTTTTGATCTCCTTTATTTAGCACCTTTTGTTCTACCTGCTCTTTCCCTAGCATTCACGACAAATAAAGAAGTGGTCATATAATCCTAGTATCTGTCATTCACCATATGACACAGTATGGCCCAAAGTTTCAACCAAATATTAGACTTCTTTATATTCAACCTCATTCCTCCTACCTTATTAACAGGTGAGGAGATCTCATCTTCTTGGGGTCTTTTCARTCCTCTCTTTAAAATGCTGGTAGATGGAGAAGCCAATGGGGACCAGACACATCGTGTTTGCATACCACTAGGACTGTCGTTTGCAGACAAAAGTAAAGGATCAAGCTCCCTTAATTTTTGAGGAGATGCATTATTATCTTCTGTTACCAGTTCAGAGATAGCTGTTTCAGATGACGAAGACTGTAATGTTTCCTCCATTGTCTCTGAAGTATGATGAACTTCCTGTAAAGTATCATTTCCTACTACCACTTGATTGTCATCTAATTTCATTTCTTCAGATTTATTAAGTTCAATATTAGTTTCAGTTTTATTACATTCAATCTTTCCTTCTTCAGTGTTCATTTCAAGTGTGTCAGGAATAAAGTTGTCAGTTTCTACATTCAAACTTTCTGTTTGAGCTTCTTCTGGCTTAGAGGTTTTGGTAGTCCTGTCCCTGTCCTTTGTTTCCTCGACACTGTCAGTTTCAGAATTCACCTGCTCAGTCACTGTCTTTTCATAATTTTCAATTTCAGAATTGATTTCTTCAAGTGAGCTTAGATCAGATTCATTACTTCCTCCACCCAATTTCCCATTTGCTTTTTGTTCAGAAATCTCCATCTGAGGATTCACATTTATAGGTGTGGTATTATCAGAAAGACCAGTACCTGAGTTATATTCCTGTGCTGCAGCTGCTTCAGCATTCAATTCTTCAGCATTGACTTCTTCAGCTTTATCTGCTTCAGGTATGCCACTTTTAGTATTTCCCTCTGCTACCATTTCTTCAGAAATATCTATTTTGGCACTCTTTTTCTCAACCAAGTTAGCTTCAGATTTATCTTTTTCTAAGCTAGTTTCAGATTTATCACTTTTTATATCCAATTCCATAGCTTCTACTTCCAGATTTGATCCCACTGTTGCTTTACATGCATTTCCTTCAACATTAACAATGTTAACTTCTTCTGGAGAAAACTCTTGTTTCCTTTTTTTAGTGTCCAAAGGAGAACATTTCTGTGAACTGTCCATGGAATCACATGCACATGGGCCCACAACTTTTAATATATTAGATGGCTCCTCATTTTCAAGACACGTTGCCACACCAGAATCCATATCACAAGTGTCCTCCTTAAAATTTACTATTTCAGGAGGAACAGATTTTTCAATAGTATTTTCTTTCAATTCAGTTGCAGGTACAATTACTAAATCATTTATAGTATCGTTCTCCTCCTTGAGACCCAAATCAAAATTCACACTGGGATGTTCATCTAAAATTTTTACTTCAGAATGCAGATTAGCATCACAAGTTTTTGATACAGTTCCAGGTGTCTGCACATCTGCTTTTGTTTCACTATTCTTTTCATCATCATTTTCTATGTTCCTTAACCCAATAAATGAATTTTCCTGGGGCTGTGATTTTTCCCTACAGCAGTCACAACCTTTAGATCGCCTGACCCTCCTACTTCTCTTGTGCTGGCATTCAACAATTTGAATACTTTTTTCAGAAAGCAGGGCAATGCTTGATGGCCCCACTTTTGAACACTCTCCCACACTATCTGAATCTCCCTTATGTAACCTTTTATTGGCATTTCTAGTCCTTAGATTTGATTCTGGCACAGGTGGCCATGTAAAGGAATTTTCTGTGCATTTGCTAGTCTTACTTTTTCCTTCATGTGTATTTGGTACATCATCAGAAACTTGCAACAAATCTGAAGATATTTTAGATTCTTGAGGTATTATCACAGTACTTTCACCTGTTTCACAAATCTGAGATTTCATATCTACTTCAGAAATTGCTTTAGACTCAGGTGTCTGATTTTCAACTTTTATACACTCTTGTACCATTTTTTCTTCTTGTTCTTCCATGTCAACACTATCATTACTTTTGTTTTTCCACTTTCCAGATCTCTTCTTCCTTGATCCTTCTTCTTTTGCCTCAGAACTATCAGATTCTGAGTTCTCAATGCTGAAAAGCAAACCCTGAGATGCTCTTCTTGTTTGATAACGCGTTCGTCCCCTTAAAGGTTTCTCAGAGGACTTATCAGCAATGTCCTGGGCACTATCTGCTTCAGAACTAATATTCTCAAGGTCTGGTTTTCTTTTATTTTGGTCAATTTCAGCATTAGCACTGGTTTCCCCCAAAGTTTTCTCATGTAAATTATTTCCTTTCTCAACTAAATTTTCCTGTACTGCATGTTCAGAAGTCAGTTTTTGCCTAGGTAACACATCATCTTTTACATGCAATGGACTCTTTTGAAGAGATTTTTCTTCTTCCTTACGTCTTTCCTTTTTTTGGTGACTATTTTCTTTATCTTGGCTATCAGTGTTTGACTCTATTATTTCTGAACGTCGCCTTGAAGATCGTCTAAGGGTTTTTTGGTTTGAAGTTATCTGAACCTGATTCTCTTCATTTACCATTTGATCTGCTGGTATTATGACTGGGGGTGTATTTTCTTTGGATTCCAAATTAACCTCTCCATTTTTCTCTTCCACACTATTATTTTCCAACACTACATCATTTTCTATTGTTGATTTAGGCTTTGTGTCTTCATACTCCACTGTAGGTTCAGAAAGATGACCCTGATTATTCTGCACACATTCTGTTTGGTTAAGCAAACTAGGTGGGTTATTTTCTAAGGCTATCATGTCTTCGGTAGATTCCTGAGTATTTTTCTCCTCTTCAGATTTCATTAAGGGCTTAGACTTTTTATTCCCAGACTGCTCAGCTTTACTAGATCTCCGGCTTGATCTCTTAACTCCATTCACCACTTTCTCTGAATCAGATTTTGATCGAGTCACTTCTCTTTTCTTTGTTTTTAAAGTAGTATCTGTTTTAGTCATGTTTTCCTGGTTATTTTTCACTGTAACAACTGATGATATACTATTTAAGGGGGACGGGCTGAAAGGTCTATTTTCTGAACCATCAAACTTTTCTAACGTAATAAAGGTTTGCCTTCGACTTGTGGGCTGAGGGGGAGTTCCAGAAATAGAGGAATTAGAAACTGAGCTGTTGACAACAAATGAACTTTCTGCATTAGGTATACATTCAGCTGAAGCTTTCTTTGATGAAGTTAAGGTGATTTTTCCGACATCATTACTACTGGTCATTAATACTTCTGGATTGGTTTCCTCAACAGAACTACATCCATTATTTGAAACAGAAGCCTTTTCAAGATGTTCATTCATACCACAGTTTTCCTTGGTATCTTGAGGAATAACACTGTCATGCTGCATTTGCTTTTCCTGTACAGAAATATATATACAGATTAAATCTGCAAACAAGTTTCACTTCCAAGGAAAATTTAAGTGCAAAACTTCAGTAATACAGAGATGACCACTATCTTTCAACAAAATGCAAATATTCCAAAAGTAATAGAAGATGCCCATTAATGTGCTCCTCATTTTATTCAATAAAAGCCAAACACATTTAAATACACACATTATGACTACAATTCTGTTAGTGTATGATTCTAAAATAAACCTTAAAATTAATAAAATGAAGAGCAGTCCCCAGTCTGCAACAATTTATTCCTAATAGGTGATTCTAAAAACCCTAAAATATAAAATATTGAATATACCTTAATTATCATCTCAGAATCTTCCATTGGTTTTTCACTTGAATTAGGTGTTTCCCTGAAATAAAGAATTATGGAAATTAAATTGTACTTAAAAAAAAAATAGGAGAAATTGTTACAAGTCCAAAAGCTTTCATACTTACACAGACTCTTCCTGACTATAATGACTAGAAAATAAGGTATCTTGTGAAACATCCAGATTATTATACATGGCAGGAATATCACACCTGAAAAATATTTTATTTGTAACTTTACAAATCTGATATTATTCTTACAATTAGAAATTAATTGCAATCTACCAAATTATCTTTTATGAATGTTACACAATCAAGATCTATATGGTTACTTTCCAGATTTCTCATGAACTTATCTTCTTATACAACCTACCTCAACAAAGGAATTCCATTTGGCAATATGTGGCACATTACTAGGCCACTTTATAAATTATAAAACACAGTAAAGTGTAATTTCTCCCATTAAAACTTACAATTCAAAGGGTCAGTGGTACTTGGCTGGTCTAGCATGTGGGGCCTTAGGTTTAATCCCAAACCAACAGAAACAATCAATTTACTAAACACATTATGCAACAACAAATCTGTAATTTCCTGCATGAAATCTAAGCATAAATAATGGATGTCCAGGACTTTGGTTGTGGCTCAGTGGTAGAGTACTCCCTTAGCATGCATGAGGCACTGGGTTTGATTCTCAGCAACATAAAAACAAAATAATGTGTCCAGCTAAAACTAAAGATACATGAATAAATACTTTACAAAATAAATATCCAATTCAAAACAAAAGGCCTACAAACCGTTTTGTTTTGAGTACTTCTTTTTGATGTTCAGTTAATACTCTTTCCTTTGCTTCTTTTTCTTCTGGAGGAATAAACACAAAATCTTCTGACTTTTCCTCTTCCAACAGCATTTCACTCTTTACTTTTGGAGATGAAGATTCTAATTTTAGCTGCAGATTTTAAAAAAGTAAATGTACATTTTCAGTTCCAACATCATTTTCAAATGACTTCCAGTTCCTTCTAATACTGATAAAGGTTTTTCAAAGTTCTAAGTCTGATGTACAGTCCATATGATATTCAAAATAACAAATTAGTAATAATGTTCTACTTCTAATAAATGCTGAGAAAATAAAATTAAGATGTGTTTTTTGGGCAAACATAGAAATCAAATGTAGAAATCAACTGGCGAAGAGTTTATGTATCACTTCCAAGCTGTAACAATGAACTAGTCAAATTAAGTAAGGCTGCCAATATAGTATGTCTTACATACTAATAACTTTGAAAATTTGTAAAGATAACATTGTATCATTCTATTTTTAGCATCTACAAGAATGTTTCAGTCTTCAGAAATAATGTTTGACTTTTATTTTGCCAGGGTCATGGTCTCAAGATTCTTGATTGGAAATTATGAAAGAGAATTCCTGTGGTGTAAAAGTAACTGACAGCTTGAAAGATCTCCTTAAAGATTTGACATTAAGGGGCTGGGGATGTGGCTCAAGTGGTAGCGCGCTCGCCTGGCATGCGTGCGGCCCAGGTTCGATCCTCAGCACCACATACAAAACAAAGATGTTGTGTCCGTGGAGAACTAAAATAAATAAATATTAAAACTCACTCTCTCTCTCTCTCCCTCTCTCTCTCTCTCATCTCTCTTTAAAAAAATTAAAAAAAAAAAAAAGATTTGACATTAAAGTAGATAACTTAGCTAGGCATTCTCTCTCTATTCCAAGTTAAGTTCTACAATCTCTCTCTATTCCAAGTTAAGTTCTACAATCTCTCTCTATTCCAAATTAAGTTCTATAATAACAACAATTCTAAAATGTTCTCTTATACTACCTATTTTAGTCACTGGGACCTAGAGTCATTTTATCTTATGGAGGCTACTGCTAGGAATAAATTACATATAATAAATTACATACAAGTATTATCATGAGGCTAAGCATTACACAGATTTACCCTTACTGAGTCATCACCTTCCCCTTCCAGATTTTCATACTATGCTATTAGTCTTTGTAGAAGAACTCTGCCAATCCTCACCATCCCATATTTGTTAAGCCATTTATAGCTTTTCCTTGCAATGAGAAGTTTTGAAATAAAAAGCTATTATAAGCTTTATTTTAAAAATTCTATTAAATACCATGTTGAAAACATACTTTGACTGATGGTTTCACATTTTCTTTCTTATCCTTTGTTTGTGTCAAAAAGGAATCTCTTTTTCCACTTGATTTTCTTTCCATACCACTTATCTTCACATTTAATTGTGAGTTTTCCATCTGTTTTATTAAAAATAAAAACAATTTCATTAAGGACAACTCTACTACTTTCATTTCTTTTCACATCTAATAATCACATACTAATGATAACTTATTTTAAATTTAAACACTGTCAAAAGACAGTAAATGGATTGTCTAAATTTTACAATTACTGTTTTACACCATTTAATTTCATGAAATTTGAAAATAAGACATACCACATAAATATTGCAATATAAATCAAATTGCTAGACTCAAACACTGTACCCATTACTGAAAAAAAAAAAGCCCACAAAACTTTCAACATTAAAGAATAAAGAAGATTAATAAAGCACACAGTTTAGAGAATATTAATGCAGGAAGAACATTTTCTCTTATACCTGAATGTATGGCTTTAGCAGACTAAATTACACTGAGCAACAAAGTCTTTACTGGTGAGAATTTTTTTTTATTCCAAAAGCAAAACATCAGTAACTATGGTTACTGATTTTTTTTCCTTACTGATTCTAAGCACACAAACCAATAGCTGTATAAGATCTGTTGCTAAACAGAAAAACATTTTCTAAGGATGTTCAACTTCCTAAGAATACAGTATCCATCCATGCCTTTATGCCTCTGAACTCCTAGATCTTTAGATGGTAATCAAGTATCAGTCAAAATGACCTTAGTCCTAAGGGTGATGTGATAGTAAAGATTTATTTTTTTCTGATAGAAGTAGTGATGAATTTAATACAAAGAAATGAAATCTAGAAGAACAGTTCTTGCTTAGGTATAAAGACTTTAGTAAGTCCATTTCTACTTTTTCCAAAATAATTCCACTGATGTGTTTTAACAGTCATGATACTTGTAAAGACTACATATAAGGTACATGAGTTGAACATAATTTACATTGAGTATTTCGAGAGAAAACTTTGCACTTAATTTATACTAGTATTTCAGGCCAGACAACTCAACATTTTTACATATGAAAAAAAAAATCATGCTAGGGAACTCTTGTCCAAGTTCTACTTATTATCACTTACGATAAACAAATCATTTAAACATCAAAAATTTAAAAACAAAATGACAAAAACAATAACTCACTACTTCTGAATATGGTCCACTGGATTCCTCCATGATTTCAACACTTTCCAAACCAGGCAAGAGAAGTAAAAGTGTCTGTTTGGCTTGTCTTAGTACTGGTCTTTAAAAAAGTACACAAATATATATACATTGAGTCAAGCGTACTGGTGCGCAGTGGTGATCTTAACAAGCACTGTCAAATACATACACACTTTCTCTCTGATAGTACTAGGAACTGAACTCAGGGGTAGTCTACCACTGAGCCACAACCCTAGCCCATTTTGTTTTTATTTTGAGACAGAGAAGGGATTGGTAAGTTGCCTAGACTGGCCTTGAACTTGCACACCTCCTGACTTAGCCTACCTGTTAGCTGAAATAGCAGGTATGACCCACAACATCAGGCTAGAGTACATTAATTACAAGTTCTTAAATTTTTAAACAGTAAATGAAAATTGGCTAAAAGCTTAAAAGATTGTATTACACATGTAAAAAAGTGGGAGAAATCTGTACTTTTCAAAAGAATCTCCAAATTTTCATCTCTAAACCTTTTGTCAAAATTTCCAAAATATTCATCATGGATAAATTCAAACAGAAGTAAAATATGACATTAAGCACTCAAGTAACTTTAAAAATAATCATTATCTTGCCCTTCTTTTTAGGATAATTTAAATTCTTTTCATTGGTTCCTAAAATCAAATTTACTGTAAGACCCAACAAAAATGTTAAAGAATGTTTAGTAATTACCAAGCAATCCAAATAATAAGTATAAAATCTTATGCAATGATTTCCCATATTAAGATTATCTTAATACCAAAAAACCCATTCATATTATCATAACAGAATATATAAGGAATAAAAATGTGTTATTGCATACTTTAATTCCTCAGGGTAAGTCAACATCGTCACTTTAGCAAATGTGGCATTCCAGAACTGAGCACTTTGTTTTCGAATCTGTTTATTCTTGTGCAAAAATATTATACAGAGCAGTGGAGAAAGCTGTTCAAGAAGTTCACTGTCATAAATTCCAGTGTAGCTATACTGTAGACAAGCAGTAATTTCTCCTAAGAGCTTTTCTAACTAGGAAAAAGGAAAAAAATAAGAGCAAAAAGCATTCTAAATATTAACTTGCAAAACATGTTGCTATTTCAATTTTTTAAATTTCAATAATTTTAAACAAGGCCCCCTGGTCACTGTAAATCTCTTTATATGCTGACAAAATATCTGGCAATTTTATCAATAAACCAACTTGATTTTGAGTGTATTTCCCATTGACAGGGGAAAACAATGTGTTTATATCAATTTAACAAGAATTAATAATTGTCAAAATATTCTTCACCTACAGAATTTTAGGCCCAACTGAGCACATATATAAAGAGATGACATCACGAATTCTATGGTTTTAAGCTAGCTTATTAACCCCATCTTTTAAAAAAGAAAATCTACTTATGAATGTGTCATATTATTTCATAATATTAAATGTCCATTAAAAATATGCAAAATTATATATAATGTAGACAAACATCTAAACTATTTTCTCATTATGAACATTTATGTTTTATGAACAATTTTTTATTGTTACCTTGTTGTTCAGACAACTGTACACTTTTGGAACTTCATCAAGCCTAGAATGGAAAAACACATAAGAGAGGACCGTTTATATTTTAGAAATATGACACTATGTTATCTATCAGTTTAAACCTGAAAATGAGGTTACCATAGTGATAAAAACAAATGTGTACATGTAATGACATAAAACACTGTTCCTAAGTCTTAACAAGGAAAACAAAAATGCCAAACTTGATTTAACATGGGAAAACCTCATCTTTAAAAAAACGAATCATTGAAAACACAGTAGACCTCAAAGTGTTTGTACTAGCTTCCTGTTTCTGTATATTTTTAAAACAAACTATTTTTAATACAGCAAAGACTCAAATAATTTGAAGAGGTAGTAAGTTCATGAATTTAATGTTTGGACTTTGCACTTCATAAAATCTGTTACCTATTTTTTTCCTCCATAAATTTATAAAAGACAAACTATTACCACCGAACAACACAAGCTTGCTACAAGATTATTAAGAAATTCTTTCAAAGTGTTTTTATAAGTATGTTATTGGGGAATTTTTCAGGTTCGTGGGCACTTCAATTCTACCTCAAAGTTCTATACTATTTGAGATATCTTTTAACAAAATATTTTAATATATTACCCTGTGTAAATTGTAAAGATTACCATCCATAACAACAAAACTGGTAAAAAACAAAAGTTGCTACATATATTTTAACTGCACAAATTTAATTCAACAACTAAGCACAAAATACTTACTTTGAGTTTTCATAAAATAATGCCAGGGGTCTTGTTAAAGTTGCAAATATTTTTCGGATCATAGATGGCAGAGAAATATGTCCAAAAACATTGGAAAGCATATTGGTGATCGAGGTGCCAATAGCAAGTAGAGTATCAGAATATACTTCTTTGAAGCTCAGAGTGTGGAAAGAATAGATCACTTTCACAATAAGTTTAAATAAAGAAGCCAATTTCCCTAGGGGCTCCTTCTTCTTTTTGGACCAATCTGAAGATCTCTGTGGTGCTAAGACATAATTACACTGATCAAAAACTTACGTACTTTGAAAACAGTGTCACACTGTCTCAATGTACAAATTTATTTCTCACATTTAAAAGCTAGATGCATCAAATACACATGTATTTAAGTGACACTCCAAATAAACCCTAAAATCACACATTATTAATGGTCATATATCATAGTAGCTTTACCAATGAAAATTAGTGACAACAGAAAATGACATCAAATCTAGAATAAGAATACGTGAGTCTATTCTCCAGGAAATTCAAAAATACATTACAAATTTTTCTGTTTCTCAAAATTTTAACTATTTTTTTAAATCAACTATTTTTTTTTAGTTGTTGATGGACCTTTAATTATTTACTTATTTTATTTATATGTGGTGCTGAGAATCAAAGCTAGAGCCTCACACATGGCTAGGCAAGCATTCCACCACTGAGCCACAACCTCAGCCCCATCAACTAATTTTTAACAAAATACTAAATTATCCGGGTGTATCTCAACAATCTGGGAGGCTGAGGCAGGAAGATGACAAATTTCAGTCTAGTCAACTTACTAGGATCTTGTCTCAAAATAAAAAATAACAAAGAACTAGTACCTACTTTTTAATCTAAAGAAAATTATGTCATAATAACATTGACTTTCCTTTGTACTCTTCTTATAGCACTTCTTTCCAGACATCAGTGACAAGAATCAACCCATGTCATTCTTGCCCTGAAAAATCATACCCATTCCAAAATGTCATCTGTTTCTCTCAATTCATTTTTATAAGCCAGGAGAGCTCAGATTTAATAGAAAGCTCTAATCCAGTGCTTATTAATTAGTCTCATGTGGTAAAATGAAAAAAAGAAAAAGTGTTGCTAATAAAGGAAGTCAGCCTTCTGCACTAAAATCAGTTTCTTGGACGTGAATATACATATACACTCCTGAATGCTACCCAGAAATTCTTGGATAGGATATTAAGGTTAAGGCTAAGGTAATATATCAGAGAACTGGTTATATACCAGAGACTATAAATATATTGAGATTAACAACAAGCAGGTTTTCTCCCAGTTAAAGAGTAGTTAAATACAAATACAGAAAGATGAAAAATGTGAAATGGTGGGATATTTAGATGGTAACAAGAAGTACATCAAAAGAAGCAGGGAGGTGGGTCCAGTGGTAGAAGCATGGTAATACCAGAGCCTCAGGGGGCTAAAGCAGGAGGGTCATAAGTTTCAGGCCAAGATGGGCAAATTTGTGAGACCTTCTAAAACTAGAAAATAAAAAGGGGCTGTCATGTACCTCAGTGGTACAACACCAATGGGTTCAATCTCCATTACTGGAGAAAACAAAGCACAACAATAACAGCTAAGAGATTATACACCTCTATTTTTCAATTCTGTCCACTCAGGATCCAAGAACAACATCATCTTGTTAGCAATAAACAATCTTGGTTTCTAAAATGCTAATCTCAGCTAAATGGAACCATGTTCACTCGAGAATGGCTGATTCAAGGCTGCAAGGAAAGTGCAAGATGAAGCTAAATATTTCACGCCCAAGTTCCCTAACAATAATGGGATGTGTCAAAAAGTTATACAAGACAACTCAATGGTCATCCTTAATGAATAAATCTGGGATATCTTGGTCATTAAGATAAATAATAGTAACTAAAGTCCACTGAACAAACTGGAAACCCAGGAGTCCATACCAATAAAAATAAAATGTAGGATATCAAAAGGTTTATCTTACATTAGATGTCACCTACACTTGTACGATTCAATACATATAGAATTTATTATAGAGTAGAATGAAATAATTAAAAATAGGAAATAAGGCAAGAAGCATTAAGGGTTGATCAACTCATGAGTGAAAACTTCCTAAAGAATAGGATACTGCCTGGAGCAGTAGTATATGCCTGTAATTCCAGTCACTCAGGAGGCTAAGGCACGAGGACTGCAAAATCAAGGCCGCATCAGCAATTTAGCAAGACCCTATCTCAACATAAGAAATAAAAAAGGACTGGGGATGTAACAGAGATAAAATGCGCTGAATTCAATCCCTAGTAACAAATAAACAAACACCCCAGGATACTTATATAGTCTCAAAGTGTCTGCCACAAAACATTTACTAGTAAGTATATAGTAATTAATTTTACTGTGGAAATCTGTCACATTACCAACTGAACCAAAAAGTAAATGTTGTCTTCATCACTAATGGGACACATGAATTAAAAGACCCACAGCATTGTTGTTGTAATATTCCTATAAAAATGAATGAGAACTGAATCAAATCTTGAGGAAATATGACAAATTTAGATCAAGCTGCTTAAGTGCTCCGTTGTTTTGTTGTTGTTTGTTTGTTTGTTTGGGGGGGTACCTTTTTGGTTTTGGGGAAGAGGGGGTTGAAACCAGGGGCACTTGACCACTGAGCCACATCCTCAGCCCTATTTTGTATTTTAGTTAGAGACAGGGTCTCACTGAGTTGCTTAGCACCTCACTTTTGCTGAGACTGACTTTGAACTCATGATCCTCCTACCTCAGCCTCCTGAGCTGCTGGGATTATAGGAGTGTGCCATCATACCTGGCCCTTAAGTGCTCCATTTTAAGAGGCATGAAAGACAGGGCAAGAAATGTTCCAGATTGGGCTGGAGTTATAACTCAGTGGTAGAGTGCTTGCCTAGCATGTGTAAGGCACTGGGTTCAATTCTCAGTACTGCATATAAATAAATAAAATAAAGGTCCAGCCAAAAAAATAAAAGATGAATGAATTAAATAAAAATAAATAAATAAATAAATAAAAGGTCCATCAACAACTAAAAAATATCTTTTAAAAAGTAATAAAATGTTCCAGCTTGTTCACTAATCTGACATACTTTCATAGAATGAATAAAATGTATATTGGCCAGGCACAGTGACGCATGCCTGTAATCCCAGTAGCTTGAGAGGCTGAAGCAGAAGAATCATGAATTCAAAGGCAGCCTCAGCAACACCCCCATCTTTAAATAAAATATAAAAAGGGGGTGGGGAAGTGGTTAAGTACCTCTGAGTTCAATACCTAGTCCAGAAGGAGGTAGGTGGTTTATTGGGGGCAATGATAAGACAAATGCAATCAATTTATAATTGAGGAATCTGAGAAAAAGGATATGCAGTTTCTGTATGTAATTCTAGCAAAGTTTCTCTAAATTTAAAATAACTATAGGTCATCTAAAAAGTCCCCAAGAGATCCTGATGCACAGCCCTGGATGATAACTATATCCTTTATGCAAGTCTTTATTTCCTGTTTCTGCTCCTAGATTTCTGCTAGCAGATTTTGAAATCTTATTTTATAAATTTAAAAAGCAAAGGGATGATCTCTGGTTCTGTTCTAGACAGACATGGAATGATATAACCAGGAGAAATTTGTAATTGTGAGTTTATAGATCATGGACACTTCCGATATTCAGATAAATCTAAATTTTCACAAGTATCAACATGGCTAAAATAATGTCAACATGGGGCTAATCATCTTGGTCCTACATAATTCCAATGACTTATGAAATGTTTTCTAGTATCATTACATTTTAGTAATGATACTAGAATCTTTTAAAGTTATGGTGTTCAAAACAGTTTTATTTTTCTGACTTTGACATAATCAGATTAGGTACTGCTCAGTTCAAGAGGATAGCTGAAATTTACTACAAGCACATCTAAAACCTAATTTAGTTGAATTCAGGAAAGGATGTTGTGATATGTAACATGTTACTCAATCTTAATTTGGTAAAACCTGAAAAAACCAAAACATTCTAAAAGCATTCTATGTTTTAGAAATATTTATATTAAATAATTAATGAAAATAATGACAGATCTTAAAACAGAAAAATATAATAAAGCTCAACATCAACTGACATTTCTATTAACAGCAGGTAATCATCTCCTATATGGTAAGAAAATATAAACCTAGATGGGTATATTTTCTTATAACATTAATTAAGCCAGAAATAATGATGCATGCCTGCAATTACAGCAACCCAGGAGGTTGAAGCAGGAGGATTCCAAGTTTGAGGCCAGCCTCAGTAATTTAGTGAGACTCTGTCTCAAAATTTAAAAATTACAAAGGGCTGGGAATGAGCTCAGTGGCAAAGCATCTCAGGATTTAATTTCCAGTGCCAAAAAAAGGACAACCTGTTTTAATTCTAACTGTCCAATTTTAAMAAAAATGGTAAAAAAATTGCATTAAACGTGTAGATTTTTAATTTCTTATAAAACCACAACCAATTTAATAATTCTAACTTTAATACCAATTAAATGATTGTTTTAAAATAAATATTTTAAAAATTAGAACATTTAATAAAATAAAAAATTGAGGGGCTGGGGTTGTGGCTGAGTGGTAGGGAACTGGGTTCGATCCTTAGCACCACATAAAAATAAAGTCACTGTGTCCATCTATAACTAAAAATATACATATATTTAAAATAAATAAATAAATGAATAATGATAAAGGGTAAAATCCTAATAGAGAACTATTTGGTAGTTGATGAAATATTGCAACAATTAAACGTAATGAAGATACTTACATTTAACGTTGGGCTGATATTTAATATTATATGGTGAAAAATCGATGCAATCAACCATTACAGTAATAATATGAACAATCCTGTCCAAGTACAACAAATTCTAGGGAAGAAAAGTATCATGATTAGAAACTTCCAGCTACTAGCTATCCAATAATAATAAGCGGCAGTAGCAAAGCATGACTTTCTCCCATATATACCATAATAATACACATCCCATAATTTTTTCCATATAAGGTAAAAGTATACGGTTACTGTTGTGTACCAAATACTATTATCAAGATTCAGGGAAAAAAATCATCCATCTTTAAGATGCCCATTCAATACCTCATATGTTCAAAGTGGAAGCGCAAAGCTTAAAATGAGATTCTTGGGGGCCAGTGCTGAGGAAAGAACCCAAGACATCAGATACTAGGAAAGCGCTACACCACTGAGCTATATTCCTAGCCCCAGTAATTGCATTCTTTATCAAATTCTTCTTAAAAATTAAAAAAGTAATGATGTATTCATAAATCCCAATGGAAACAACAATCAAAGTTTTTAAATTTTTTTTGAAAAATGTTTTTAAGTTCCACCAATATTCTTTCTTTCTCTCCCAATCCAACTGAAATAAAAAAAGGTCGACAAATGGCAATATGTAAATCAATGGAAGTGTAACTGATGTGATACAGCAATCTGTATACGGGGTAAAAATGGGAGTTCATAACCCACTTGAATCAAACTGTAAAATATGATATATCAAGAACTATGTAATGTTTTGAACGACTAACAATAAATAAATAAAAAAAGAAAAAAAAAAGGTCGACAGACTCAAAAGATTACCAATTTATGGAGGTGAGGAGCAGCAGCAAACTAAAAGTAGAACAAAGAAAACCCATAGCTGATAAGCCAAAGAGAACACTTCAAAAATAACAACTTTCCAAATGGAACCTCAGAGTAACAGAAGTCACAGTGATATTTACAAAATAGTTAAATGGTTGATTAAAAGTTAGGTTTGCTGTACTTAGCTGGGTGCAGTAGCACACGCATGTAATTCCACAGGTTCAGAAGGCTAAGGCAGGTGGATTTCAAGTTCAAAGTCAGCCTCAGCAAAAGCAAGGCTCTAAGCAACTCAGTGAGACCCTATCTCTAAATAAAATATAAAAAAAGGGCTGAGGATGCAGCTCAGTGGTCGAGGGCTCTGGAGTTCAATCCCTGGTACCCAAAACAAAACAAAAAATTGTACTGCATTTAGAGATGTATAAAACAACTGGCCAGTGTTTCTTCTCTCCTTATCCTCCATTACCTTCCATTTATTCACTTAACTAGATTAACTGCCATATCTGCCCTAAAGACAGCCTCTGCCATAAAATGTAAGTACCAGAGGAAGAAAATAATGCCTGTGTTATGTATGTAAATCGTACAGAAAGGTCAGTTCAAATGGGAGGCTACATACTAGAAGAAAAGATGCAAAGATGTTAAATTTAGGAGCTTCCTCCTTGCTCACAATTATAAAGCAGAAGATGACTATAACCACAATTTTACCATTAAAGCTAGAAAAACACTTCTCTCTTGTATTAGAAAATACATTCCTACTATCAACACCAAGCACCATGATAAAAATGTGCTAAATACAAACTGAACTTTAATCCACCAGGAGTCAATGCAAGAAGCACAATATTCTCATGTTAAGAGGGAAATTATATTCATTTAAAACATTAAATGTAAATCAAAACAGTTCAATACTCCTCTAAACATTTATACGGCAAAGGAATGGGAACAACTGGAAATATCAAGATCCCAGAAGCAGTAATAACCAAAGCAAAAGAAAACAAAACACCCAAAACTATGTGGAAAAAGAAAAGAACATGGAAGACAAAGTCAAAAGGTCTAAAAACAGTCTAAAGTATATGGGGGGGGGGGGGAAGCAGGGGCAGATACTACTCAAATAGAAAAACTGAAGGGCACCAGTAAAGCAAGGCATTATTTTCCTGACCTAAAGGCACATTTCTTTATATTGAAAAGGTTCACTAAATATTTAAAAACAGACAAGTAAAATTCCCAAACTTCAAAGACAACAGAATGATCCTAAACTTTACAGAGAACCCAAAAAATTCCCTAATAAAAAGGTTAGTATTAGACTATAGTCTAATGACTATAGTCTAATGACTATAGTCATTTGTAATAATACAAGTTTACAATTCTGCAAGAACTTTACTTCACAACTATTTTCTAAGGATGGAATAATTAACAGTTAAAATATCTATAGTACCCAAAGTGGTCTTCAGATTCAATGTAATCTACCTTAATATCCCAATGGCATTATGTTTTCCTTTTGTGTGTTATTACTGAAAATTAAACTTAGGGGTGCTGTATCCCCAGCCCTTTCAATTTTTTATTTGGAAACCAAATCTTACTAAGTTTTGGCAAGTTGCTGAGGGTAGCCTGAATCTTGCAATACTCCTTTGTCAGCCTCCCTAGTAGCTGTGATTACAGATGTGCACCTCTGGGCCTGAACCAATGGTATTTGGTTAAAACATTCAAAAGAACCTGAAGGGCCAAAGTAACCAATCTTGAGGAAAAATGCCACAAACAAGAAGCATCACACTTCCTGACTGAAAATATATTGTTATAAAACTATGTAATCAAAACAGTTTCGTATTAGCAATGAAACAGACATATACACCAATGGAACAAAAAGACCAGAAATAAATTCTCACATGGGTGGTCCTACAACAAGAGCGCTGACAATACACAAAGGGGAAAAGATGGTCTCTTCAATAAATTATGCAAGGAAAAACAAAAAAACACAGGAAGAATAAAATTGGATCCTTATCTCACACCATGTTCACTCAAAATGGAATAACTTACATACCAATACCTAACACATTAATACTAATAAAACAAAATGGGAAAGACTTCTTCACATTGGTCTTGCTAATGATTTCCTGCATAACATCAAAAGCACAGGTAAGAAAAGCAAACACAGACCAACAAGATTACCCCAAACTAAAAAGATTCTGCACAGCAAAAGAAGCAACAGCATGAAGGGACAATTTAAGGAAAAATGTTTTTGCAAACCATGTATCTGATAAGTGGTTGAATACCTAAATTACATAAGGAGCTCCAATAACCCAATATTAAGAAAACAAATAACCAAACTTTAAAATGAGCAGAAAACCTAGGTAAACATTCCTCAAGCTGGATGTGGTGATGCACACCTGTAATCCCAGTGATACCAAACCAACAAAAAAACCCCACCACATTACTCAAAAGTAGACACAGCCCAGCTAGGTGGTGATTACCTATAATTTCAGCAACTCAGGAGGCTGAGGCAGGAATATTTCAAGTTTGAGGTCCATCTGGGCAAATTATTGAGACTATATAAAAATAAAAACTAAAAAGAGTTGGGGTATGAGCTCAGCAGTAGAGCACCTGCCTACGTCAGCAAGGACCTGGGTTCAATACCCAATATGGGGGTGGGAGACGAAAGATAAATACAAACAACCAGCAGTTATATATGTAAAGGCAATCAACACCAGTATCAGGGAATGCAAATCAAAGCCATGACATCACCTTATATTTGGTAGGGTAGCTATTTTTAAAAAGAAAAAAAATTCAAATCTCTATTAAAAAAAACAAATCTCTATTTTGAGTAAGAAGAGGAGGAACACTGTACACTGTGGGAATATAAAATGGTCCACTTACTAGAGACAATAGTATAAAGAGTGTTCAAAAAATTAAACTACTAACCTATAGTTAATTTGTGAGCCTGTGGCTTAGGACAACAGCTTGAGCCCAGGAGTTCCGTGCCAACCAGGGCAGTTTATGAGCCCTTCTCTAGATGTGAGGTAACTTTTGGAGGTAATGAATATTTAAGACGTCATGACGATGGTTGTTATTATGTATCAACAACTTTTTACATTTTCTTATCCAGTATCAGGGATTGAATATAGCATCTGGGATTACTCGCATGTGCCAGGACACTCAGTTGTACAACTTTTCATATGTAAAACATATCTCAATAAAGTGATATAATACAACTGTGATACATATTTTTTTTTATCCCTAAGTTTGCTAACCAACCAATTATTTACACAAAGACAGGAAGATAGTGGTCATGTATCTAAAAGTAGTTGACAATTATTCTGTTCCCTCAGAAATAAAATATAAAGTAAAACAAGGAGAAAAAAATGGAACACAAAAAACAAAGCTAAACAGCAAAACCAAGAAAACATTAAACAGGTTATGTCAGCAGCATCTTTAATTTGTGGGGGACGGGGCGAGATTTCTCAGGTCTTATGGAATCCTTCAGAATAATGTAGGTACTCTAACTAAAAATTTAAAAATTTCAACAAAACCTGAAATGTGGCAAGCCCCATAAGAATGTGTGGGATGAAATCCTACCAGGTTTTTATCTCCTGGGATAAATGTTATGGACTTCAAATATGACAGAAGAAAAATTAAAAGTAGTATCTCAAGTAAGAAATTACTGGCAATAGTAATACATTTAATTTTGAAGATGAGAAAAGAGTGAAAGGGGACTTTTATATAGTCAGTTGTTTGGCTAAGGATGGTGGCCTATCAGTGATTCATAAGGTTGAAATAATAGGATCCCAACTTCAAGGTTGGCCTCAACCACTTAGGGAGACCTTCAGCAACTTAGTGAACACTTTCTTAAAAATAAAAGAATATACTCAACGGTAAWGTCCCCTGGTTCAATTCCCAGTACCCTCTCCTCTGCACACACACACACACAGACACAAAAGTCAGTCCTTTGTATCCATGGGTTTTGCACATACAGTTTCAACCAACAACATATCAAAGACACACTCATACCTTGCTTGATGGTTACAGGTAAATGACAGATCACTTAATTTGACAAAAATCCTATAAGATTACCAAAAGCTGAAAAATTCCTATCACCTCCTATTGACAATGCAGCAGTCAATAGTGTAACCCATTACATCCTCATGGTGATGTTGGTATAAAGAAACATACTGTGCTACCAGTAACACAAAAGTATAGCATATATATAAAGAGAGGACATAATACTTGATAACCATGTTTGCTAGCAGCTTATGTATTTGCTACACTACACATTTTATCATTAGAGTCTACTTCGATTTTCTACATGATTTAGCTTTAAGTTTGCTCTATTGATTTTCACATGATGAAACTGCCCTAAGGACACATTTCATAGAAGGTATCCCCTCATTAAATTATGTACAACTATACTTCAGGTGGACAGGGAGTAAAAACTAAGTCTGTTTAAGACATTTTTCCTTGTTTTTATTCCCTAATACAGTATGACAACTATTTATATAGCATTAGGTATCATAAGTATTCTAGATGATTGTAAGAACATGGGAAAATGTGTATACATTATATGCAAATATTATTAAGTCACATTATATAAGGAACTTGAAGATCTGTAAGTTTTCGAATTATAAGCTGATCCTAAAACCAATCAACCTCAAAGACTAAGCAAAGACTACTTTGAACATTAAAAACTGCTGGGCTTGGCTGCATATGCCTGTAATCCCAGTGACTCAGGAACCCAAGACAGGAGAAATCAAAGTTTGAGGCCAGCCTGGGCAACTTAACAAAACCCTCAACAGCTTAGCAAGATCCTGTCTTAAAATAAAATATTAAATGGACTGGGAATGTAGTGGTAAAGTGCCCATGGGTTCAACCATGAGCACACCCCTGCACCCACCAAAAACAAACAAAAAACTAAAAACTTCCAGATTGACGTCTAACAGATATGAGAAAGTACACAGAACAGCCTACGCCTTGTATTGTTATTCTGAAATGCCTCCTGGAGGTACATAGTAAAATAGTAAAAAAGCTCTTAATGATCCTGGTACATGGACCCGAGAGGACCCTCCTTCCAAATAAAAAAACTGTTTCACAAAGCTGTACTTGTTTTCTGTATTAACTTGGTCTCTTATAAAACAGAAACATTAGTAAATGACAGTTCAAAAGTGTTACCTCCATTTACTTGAAAAGAATTTCCTTAAATACAAACAACTAAAATAACAGGCCAGTACCAAAACAAACTCACTGAAAGCGATTCATCTTCCAAACTGGACATTATCTTGGAAGAAAGTTCTTCACAGCACAAATTCTCTTCTGCTGTTGCCACCAAGGCAGCACAGCGAGCAAATGCTCTATATAATTCTGACCAACTTCTAAGTAAAGTCTTCATGGTAGCCTAATAATAAAGAAATTTTGTTAATATATACCTCTTTATCCAACAGCAAATAGAATCAATATATCTTTTAAGGTGTCACAGAAGAGTCTAGCATAGGTAATAACTTTTCCCCAATTCCCAAAATGTTCTAACCATAGTATCAGCAATCAAAGATAAAAAGAAACTTCTCTCTTCACGATTTTCCTTTCCCCTAAGCTAATAAAGTTGTATGAATCCTATCTTAGGCAAAATTACTGTTGAGTTCATTATAAACGTTGAAAAGGCAATATTTTTTAGAAAAGCACAAATTCCTTACACATAAAAATATGACACGGTCTTACCAGAGGAAATTTCTGTATTGAAAAAATATGGTTGATTGGCAAAGTAAGTGCACCATAGATGGCACTAAAATTATGTTCTAATGCATCACCTTGATTCACTTCATTGGTCTGAAAAAACAAAAATGAAAAAGTTATCCTCATCTACCTAGTAACATTAAGTATTTCCAACAGGTATAAAACTGTGTCCCGTGCTAATAGCATTAAGGATTTTTTAAACTCCTTTCCCTTGGTAGCTATGAATATGACTTATCTGTCCATAAGATCTTTGCAGATATAATCAAGTTCAGACAAAGTCATGATGCATTAGAGTGATCCTGAATCCAATGAATGGTATCCTTATGAGAGGAAGAAATCTGGACACATTGATAACACGAGGGTGAATACCATGTGAAAATCAAGGAAAAGACTGAAGCCATGTGGTCACAAATGAAAGAAGGTCAAAGACTACCAGCTATCAGAAGCTAAGAAAAATGGATCAGATTCTCCCTCAGAGCTCTAGAAAGAACCATATAACACTTTCATTTTGAATTCTGGCTTCTACGACTATGAGAGTGGTAGAGTGCTAGGTGGGTCGTCTGCCCCATCTGCAGCACAAAAATAAATAAATAATCTGTGGGAAATGAAAGCACAGAGTTTAGATCCTAAAAAGAAACCCAGAAACAACTCCCTAAATCTGTTACTATACATATACAGCATTCAAGCAAGGACCTCTGCTATCCTTCAAACAGTGGGAAGCTATTTAGAAATATAAGCTATTATTATTCAGTAGGAATATGTTTAATAGTTTGCTAGTCTGAGTAAACTAGTATAATGTAAAAAATTATGTGGTATCATTTTGTGCTTAGCAATATTAGTCCAGAGAATCTGTCCATGAAAGTGAACTTGTGCTCCCTGTTCTGTCAGTATCAACACCTTTTTAGTATTTAAGTATAAGAAATAGTAATCAACTCTAACTTAGGAGAATATTAAATGGCTTTGAAGTAATATGGCTTCACCAGAATTTATAACATTCAAGATGATCATTATTACTACCTATTGGTGTAACTACTCAAAGGACCCAAAATATTTAAGAATCTGTATGTATTATATATATTTCTCCAATCATTATTGGAGAAAACAAAGCTCTTAGACCCCTATTAAGTAAGGTTAGCTTTCTTTGGTAAATAAGGCAGAAAAAAAAAAMCCCACAATGAAATCAATCTAGTAGACAGAAAATTCACCAACAGCACACACACACAAAATATTTAATATCTTCTATTCAAATTCAAAGTTCTAGCTGGGTGGCCCATACCTGTAAACCCAACTAAGCAAGAGAACTGCAAACTCACGGCCAGCCTGGGCAACAACTGCAAAAGGCCATGGATGTACCCTGGTGGGAGAATGCTGCCCTGGCAATGACGAGACCCCAGATTCAATCCCCAGAACCTCCCTTCAACACACACACACAGTCAAGCTTCTATTCATACCATAAAAAGAAAACAGTCTCTTAAATTTGAGTGGAAATATATAGCAAATTTACATCATACCTGATTAATCATTTCAGTTAATGGCGTGACTATAATACTCCACATTCTCCAGAGATGCTCCTTGTTTTCCAATTCCTTTGCATTTTGATTAATAACATTTAATACTGAGTCACTAAACGCTAATGGTGAAGTTGGACCAGAAAGCACATAACCTACAAGTGTTTCAAGATTGAGAAAAAACCTGAAGTAAAAAGAAAAAAGAATGTATTACTGAATACTTTTGCTGAAATACATTAACTGCACATTAACAAATTCTAAAAATAATTACAAAGAAAATAAAAAATGAATTCGAAGTCTTATTTATGAAAATTATTTAATAAAAGAATCTTATTCATTATATAATCTTTCCATAAGAAACCTCATAAAGTTTCCACCACTCTACCACTGTGCTCCAACCCACCCTGTCTGTTTTTTATTTTGAGACATGGTCTCACTAAGTTGCCCAGTCTGGCCTCCAACTTGCAAACATCCTGACTCACTGGGATTACAGGTGTGCATCACCATATCCAACTTCATATTGCTTATTTATATTTTTGCAAAGCTGGGAACTACGCCAAGAACCTTTTGCATTCTACATCATCATTCCACCACTAAGCTCCCTCCTCAACCTACAGGTTATTTAAGGTACAAACTTACCTTTCATCTGCTACACATTCCAGGAGATTATTGTTGAAAATTAACTGAATTAAGAACAAAGCTGGAGTTCCCTGAAAAAAGGAGAAAATGAAGTTAATCTTAATCAATTACAAAACATAGTATACTTGTTTGCTATAACCAGTTAAGAAATGATGATTGTCTTAGAATAAAAAAGTTAAATTTTATTTAGGTATCACAACAAATAAAACCCAGTATCTTTCTGTTCTAAATGAGAGCTATACCTTCTACAAGAGAAATAATGAACTGGTGAGATTCCAGACATTTAAAAAGCTAGAACTTACTAAATCGCCATCTACACTATGTAGGTAATGTCATTTCACAATATTAAGCCAATGTTCCTAAACATAGAAAATTTATAACAATATTGAGCTCTATTATGTATAAATGAATAGAAATCTTTCCTTCTGGGGTCAATTATTAAAGCCAGGAAAGTATTTTCACCTATTGATATATAAGCTATTTAATTCCTTAATGATTACCACTTGTTTGTTTTTAAGTCAGTCAACATATTTCAAATCCGATACTCTCAGAATCTTAAAACCTAAGTATCACCTTTATAAAAGAAAATATGGAAATATCATGGATTTTTTTTCTTTTTTTGGCCAATCTTTATCATAGCATTACATTTAAGATACTTGCATTAAGAATATCCATATTAGCAACCTGATATGCTGGTGAACCTAATACTTTCTGAGGAAGTCCTTGAATTGTAATTTCCATGAGGACCTAAGAAAGAGAAAAGATCACAGTAATCAGCCATTAAAAACATCACCTTATGGGCTGGGGGTGTTAACTCAATGGTAGAGTGTTTGCCTGGTACATGTAAGGCTTTAGAATTAATCTCCAGTAATGCTTAAAAAAAAAAAAAAAGAAGTCTATTTACTTAGTAAAATACTATTCTTTTAACTGTACTTTTAATAATTCATTACAAGATATGTTCTTTCAATAATGTTGATTAATATATATTTCCATTAAGCTAAAAATTTCAAATACGTAAATATGAAAAGTGCAAAGTAAGTACTTTACAGATAATGCGTTCAATTTGGAGTATATTTTCATAGATCTTCTAAATGTCTGCATGTGTAGGTACACAGAAAGAAATAAACTCCTATACATATTTTGCTTTCTGTGTGGTGCTGGGAAATAAACCCAGGTTGAACTACTAAGCTAAACCCCAACTCCATATGAACACTACTATAAACCAATGAGGATATTTAATGATATTTAACCATTTCACAATGTGAAATGTGTAAATCATTAATGTATTTCATTAATATATACTGATGCTGCTAAATGAATCAATGTCTATAATTTGTTTATTCATCCATTTTTCTAAAAATGAATGCTGAAGCTCTTATTTTGTACTGATAAAAGAAAATTTTGAAATGCATTTCATACTCAATGCCAAAAGCATACATTTCATAGGACTGTAATTAGAAACTGGGTTTAAAATTGCTAACTCAAATACGAATAAACCTACCAAACTGCTCTCTTAAAAATCTTCCTACACTACTATTAACATAGACGACATAACTTAAGTGTCACAGTAACATAACAAATAATTACAACAGAATTTTACATATTCTTCTTTGAAACACATTAAAAGCATTTATTTTGAGCTTTGTCCCCTATGCTTTCCATGTATTAACTAATTTAATTACCTATCAATACTACACAGCCTCTTTATAAATCAATCAGTGGGACCAAAAGGGTAGATAAACTATGCAAATTTACTCTAAAACACAGTTGGGGGATTGGGAGTATAGTTCACTTGTAGAGCTTCTGCCTAGCATATGCAAAGTCCTGGGTTCATTCCCTGGTACCACCATAATAAAATAAATAAAAAACAGTTGGTCGGAGGTTCAACCAAATCTGCTCTACAGTCCTTGCTATAAACCCCAAGCTATACTGCCATGGTACATTTACTTGTCACTGTACATAAGAAAATATAAGGAATTTAAACTAAGTTATCATTTTTTGGGTGGCTTACTATTATAAAATTTATATACAAGACAAGCAGTCCCATATGCCTATAATACCAGCTCAGGAGGCTAAGGCAAGATTGAGAAAGAGTAAATTTGAAGGCAGTGTTTCTCAAAATAAGACCTGGATGTACTTGATGACAAGCGTGCCCTGGGTTCAATTCCCAGTCTGTGATTAAAAACTTAACAAAAAATCCAGCAACTACATACTATTTACTTTCTCCTTTCCTTCACTACTGTATGTTTTTAAAATGTATTTAAAAGCTGGGGGTATATGTCAGTGGTAGAGTGCTTTCCTAGTTTAATGGGCTCTGGGCTCAATCCCCAGAACTGTACCAAAAAAAAAAAACAAAAATGTATTTAATACCAATGTCGTTATCAGGGTTAAAGAGTTAACAGAAGGCTGAAGTAGGAGGATCAAAAGTTCTAAAACAACCTTGGCAACTGAGATGCTGTCTCAAATAAGCTAGGGATATAGCTCATTGGTAGACTGTTTCTGTCTGCTATTCTTGAAGCCCTGGGTTACAATCCTAGTACTAATCAATAATGTATTCACCAGCTAACCATTAGTGGTATTCAGCACTCCTGTCATTGTATTAGAAAACATTCAGTTTCTTCAGTTCAAATTTCATGCCCTTTACCTCATTTTCTCAGTATAGCACATTCTTTTTATTAATTTGAAGATGTTAGTGGCTAATATAGTCATTTACTTTATTATTTTTTAAATGATTAATATCAATAGAATTATTGATATTAATACAGAACAAAACTGCTGATAAATACTTGATTAAAAAGGTCTCTCCAGGGGCTGGGGTTGTGGCTCAGTGGTAGAGAACTTGCCTAACATGTGTGAGGCACTGAGTTCCATTCTCAGCATCATATAAAAAAATTAAATAAAGGGCCACCAACAACTAATAAAGTATTTTTTAAAAAAAACAGTCTCTCTGGAGGGTTGGGCATATAGCTCAGTTAGTAGACTGCTTGCCTCGCATGCACAAGGCCCTGGGTTCAATCCCCAGCACTGCCCCCAAAAATGTAACAAAGTCTCTGGAAATTTGTCCTATTCAAAAATTCATTACAAATATGATTTATTCAAAGTTCAACTTACAGATATACTTACCAATGTTTTTGACACAGGATATACTTCTGACTTTACTATACTTTCCAAAGATTTTAGTAGGAGGGTCAGAACTTCAGACCCTGATCTTTCTTTTCTGTTACCTATCAAAAAGCAAAAGGTAGAGTATAGGTCTAAATACATATTTTAGAGATTAATATATGTGCATAGAAAGCTTTAAATGTTACTAAACAGTAATTTTTTTCCAAATCAGCAATAAATGCTCTAAGGTAAATTAATGAGAAAGCCAAGCACAGACACACACATCTGTAATCCTAACTACTTGGGACACAGAAGGATGGCATAATTCCCAGGCCAGTCTGAACATTAGACCCTTTCTCAAAATAAAATGGGTTGGTTGGGACTATAGCTTGGTGCTAAAGTTGGGACTATAGCTTAGGTTCAATCCCCAGGACTGCAAAAGAAGGGGTGGCGAGTCGCATGGAAAATGATACAATTTTCAAATTAATTTTATACATGAAAGACAAACAATTCACTGGATTCTAGAAAATCATTTCATTGAATCCTCTGCAATGAATTCCTTCTTCTCAAATAGAGACTCTACTGCACAATAGATCAAGTCCTGTTTTGCAGAGATTTATCCTGTTCCTAATAGAAGCAGGAAGGTGGAGTGAAACTAATAGATTCAAACAGTAAAGCTGGAGGAACAGCAAATGATGGCTTCAAGTTTCCTATAAGTTACAAGGCCAGAGGGGAGGAACTTATGAGACTCAGGAGAAAGAGTTTTTAGAATGAAAGGAAAACAAAACCCCCAAGTTAGAGGAAAAAGAAGAAGCCTCAGAGAGGGAGAAGGAAGAAACCTCAGAGGAAAGAAGAGAAAGGAGAGGATAATTCTCTATTATGTGAGGAACAAGACTAAACCTTTCAGGGTCTTACTGTGGTAGATTCAAAGCACAGAGCTGAGGAAATAACTAGGGATGATGTGAAGATTATTTTAATTTATTTGATAGTGGATTCTGAGTCAGAGGAAGAAGAAGGAAAGTCTCTGAAGTAAAAAAGGCAATGACTACCTCCCAGACAGAGAAAAAATGAGAGACCTTCTTATGTGGATTTAAAGAAATTGCCTTTCGTTACTCGGTTTGGGACTCTATGAAAAGAAAAAGCAGCTGAAACCCCAGATGGTATACAAAACCCAGAAGGGAAAGAAATTAGCTAGGCTCAGAAGTCAAGGAAGTAGGATGGGCTGTCTGATCTCCCAACCTTGCCCACAAAATCAGAGATAAGTTATAAATGAGCATAAAAACATTTGTGTATATACTTGAATGATCCATCAGGAATCACCAAGGTTTTAAGGAAAGTAGATATTATTCTTGAAGTAGAAGAGCTAACATCCAAAGAAACAGCCCAAGGAACTAAAGAAAATTTTAGTAGAAGTATGATCAGTACCTTCAGAGAGATCCAAGACTGGAAATAAAAAAACTTCCATGTAGGTGTCTTATAAACCAAAAACTCAACAAATGATCTTAGTAGTAGAATGGACATACATGAAGAATGAATGAGCAACCTATGTAATCAACTAGAAGAATTCTCTAAGGATACAATACAGATGGCCAAGTAAATAATCAATAAAGACAGACTAAGACTAAATTCAGAAACGTCTTTGTTAGAAACTCCAGAAAAAGATGGTAAAGAGAATGGTGCTGAGGACACAATTAAGGAAATAACTGAAGAAAGCTTTCCAGAGCTAAGGAAGAATTCGTCTTAAGATAGTGAAAGCTTGCCAGGCATGGTGGTGCATGCCTGTAATCCCAAGAGCTTGAAGACAGGAGAATCTCTAGATCAAATTCAGCCTCAGCAACTGTGAGGTGCTAGGCAACTCAGTGAGACCCTGTCTCTAAATAAAATACAAAACAGGGCTGGGGATATGGCTCAGTAGTGGAGTACCCCTGAGTTCAATCCCTGAGAGGGAGGGAGGGAAGGAAGGAAGAAAGAACAGGTAGTGAAAGCTCACCAAATATATCAAGCAGGATTAATGAAAACAGACTCGCCCCTAGACATGTCTTGGCAAAGTTTTAAAATTCTAGTAATAAAAAGAAAATCATAAAGGCTTCTAGAGAGAAAATAGCCTACAGAGGAACAAGAATCAGACTGACAGAAGATTTATCACTGGGCACCATGGATACTAGAAGTAAATGGAACAACACCATAAAAGTTCTTCAGGAAGAAAGTTTTCAACCTAGAATACTGTATACAGTCAAATTAGCATTTAATTTTGAGGGTAAAACAAAGATATTTTCTGATGTTAAACAATTTAGAAAATTAATTTGTGTGCCCTTTTTGAAAGAATTACCAGAGAATATATTTCAGCAATCTTGATGACTACAACCCATCTACAAAATGCTTTCTTCACAACACACATCTAGAAAATCACAAGTAAAACATCACATCTCTACCAGAAGGATGGAAGCTAACAGCATATTTGGGGATTAAGGGATGTTAATTACCTAGATATTATTATAATTAAAGGATATATTTTAAAAATTTCATGTTAGCCATCCCGCCTTATATATGAGCAAACTTTACATATTACTAAGGGGGAGGAAGAAATCCTATCAATGTAACAGATGGGAAAAGGTGAGGAGAAGAATTAGAAAAACAAACGAGAAAGATGACAATTTAATGTATGAATACCAAAAAAAAAAAAATGCAGAAGCTGAATGCATCAAGAGAAGTTTATAATTTTTAGCATTTATCGCAGTCAATCATTATATTAAAGCTTTTTGTTTTGAAGAAAAATATCGTTTCATCAATGTAATAGTGCTTACCTGATTCAGTAACTGATTTCACCAAGCTAATTAGCTCCTTCCAGACAGCACTGACAACTGCATCTGTCAAACAAAATACTTTTAATAGTGTATATATGAATACAAAGGCTCTCCCTTTCTTCCATATAAAACAGAAGAAATAAATTGAGCAGTATTTACCAAGGTGATCATAATTCCCTTATAATATTCATTACAACAAATTTATAAAGCTATAACATTTTAAACATCAAGTCATACAAATAAGGGTAACTCTTATTTTCTGAATTCTCTGTAAGACTTATAACTAATAAGAAAGGACAAAAAATGAATCCTAAGAATATTTGAAAACCAATAGAGAAAAAAAACACATAATTCATTCTTCAATTACCTAAATGGCAAAATATTCTTCTTTGTTTTATGGTAGTACCAGGGATTGAACCCAGGGTACTCTACCATTGAGATACATTCCCAGCTCCTTTTACTTTTTGAGACAGTCTTGATAAGTGTCCCAGGCTGGCCTGGAATTTGCAGTCCTCCTGCCCCAGCTTCCATAGTAGCTAGAAAACTGGCACACACCATTGTGCCTGTCCATTGGTGCTTGTCCATACGTTCAATTTTTAAAATATTTTTAAAATGTTTTAAAACATTTAGACTATGGACCCAGGGGTTTAAATGCATTCATTTACATGTTAGAGCCACAGAGCCTAGGCATAAATCATAGCCCTATTATCTGCTATGTGACTTTATCCAAGTTACTGACATTATCTGAACAGCTCAGTTTCCTCATTTGTAAAATGGCTGCTTTCAAGATTAAATCAATTAAGTATCCGTGCCCAATCTGACTAATAAGAGGTACCACATAGAATATTTACCATTCTACCTTCTTTTATTTTTCTTGGTACTGAGGATTGGACCTAGGGGCATTTTACCACTAAGTTATATCCCTAACCTTTCTCTTCTTAAATTGGAAGACCGGGTCTCAAAGTCCAGGTTGGCCTTGAACTTCTGATTGTGTTGCCTCAGCCTCCCAAGCTGCTTATAATTACAAGCAAGAACCGCTGTTCCTGGCTCTATTTTACTTTCTTTTAAAACATAGATTTGAATAATAAAAAATTTTTTCTTAAATATTTACCAGAAGCATCCTTTCCAACTGCAAGAAAGCTATCATGTACGGCAGTAATAAGTGTATGTGCGTGCTTGGAAAAAAATGAAGGGCTGCTGATTAATGGATGTTCAAGTGGCTCTAAAACAAGAAGAACAAAAAGATAATTATATAAAAYGAAAGATATGACAGCATTCTCAATATAAAATTTTAGATGGTCTGAATGGATGTGATTTTTACTAAAACACTTTGCACTTATTTCACAAACAATTACATTATGCTATGGAGAAAAATAAGACCTTTCTTTACCAATACAGCAAGTCCTGGATTGTTTTAATAAATAATTTTAAAAATAATTAAATACCTAAGCTCAACACAAGTTTGTGCTGCTTAGCAAAACTCAATACTTCTGGACCCATCAAAAAATGAAGCAACATTTCAAGTCCCAAAAGTTGAATGGAAGGGATTGTGGCCATTCCACCTAAATTTGAACTCATGTTCATGCGTGGAGTTCCAGGAACTCCATAGGGGGAAGCACCTTAAAAAAGAGAGAGAGAGAGAAAAGTCCATTTATATAAGGTTATTTTATATTAGCTACCAAAATGCATGTACTTTATATCATTACAATGTAATTTTCAAAACAAATACAACTTAAAATTTCAGGCAGTAATCCACACCTTATAATTATGCATATATAGGTCTTTCTGGTACTTAAATATGAAAAACACTCAATGCCTAACAAAATAGTAATAGCAATTAACTGTTTATGTTGTACGCTAAGCCACATTTCTTTTATCTGCAAAAATCTGTTGTTTTTAACCAAAGCTCCGAGATTCTGCTATGGAAAAAAACATGGAATTTTATGTTACTTTCTATTAGCTATCCTGAGTTGTAGGTAAAGCACATTCATCTTTTCCAACCACAACTCTGCAACTTAACACAGTAATCAGTAACAAAGAAAAACAAAATGTCTTATTTAATAACAGATCAAAAAATGATAAAATACTTCACTTCATATGAAAGATACTAAGTAAAAAAGCCTTCAAAATCTTTTCAAAAAGAGAAAAAAGGAAGTCTATTCCTTACCTTTGTGTACAGGAGTCATAGGACTTAAACCTGGAGAAGTAGCTATACGAGATGAATTGCCTTGAGGTAAGACACAAGAATCAGTGCTAATTGTACTCTGAATCAGAGGAACACAAACCTATTGGGTGAAAGAAGGATAAATACATAYCTTTAAACCAAGTGTCATTTTTTTCAATATTTATTTTTTAGTTGTACCTGGACATAATACCTTTATTTTATTTATTTATTTTTATATGGTGCTGAGGATCAAACCCAGGGCCTCGCAAGTGCTAGGTGAGCACTCCACCACTGAGCCACAACCCCAGCCCTTGAGTGTCATATTTTTAAAAGCCTTACATAAATTTCTATTTAGAGCAATTTTAATTCTTTTGATATGGACACTGAGCACCCTAATTCAAAAATTTATAGAAGCTCCATCCAAAAGCCAGAACTCTGAGCCCCAGGATACCAATGTTGGAAAATTTCATACCAAACTAGTCTCAGTGGTGGGCCAGTCCAAACACCAGAACACTAAAAATAGTGTAAAACTATCTTCAAGCTATACCATGTAACATAAAAGAAATAAATTTCATGTTCAGACTTGAGTCCTACCCTCAGATACCTCATTCTGTATATAAAAATAATTCAAAATCTGAAATATTCTTCCTTTTTGATCCTACGCATTTCAGATAAGGGAAACTCAAGCTGTATTGAATTGTATTGATAGTTTTCTTACAAAGACTTAAAACCAGAATTGAAGAAAATAAGATCTTTCTAAACCTGTATTTGCCCTAAATGTGTATTTATATTTCAGTTCTACATTTGAGACAGAAATTTATACATATAAATTTATACATTGGACCCAGGGGCACTTTACCACTAAGCTATTTAATATAAATATAAATAACTACATATAAATAAGCTACATAGAAATAACTTCCTTCTCCCATGTACTGGGGATTAAACCTAAGGCTTCACACATGGTAGGAAAGCACTTGAACACTGTGCTACATCCCYAAACCTTTCTATTTTTTATTATGAGACATGGACTAATTAAATTRTCCAAGCTGGCATCAAACTTGCAAACCTCCTGCCTCAGACTCCTGAGTAGCTAGGATATAGATATGTAACACCACACCGGGCTACAATTACTCCTTTTTATTTTTTAAATAAATTGAGAAAACAAGGATAGAAATGTTTTTTTAAAAAATTTAGGCCAGACATGGTGGCCTAAGACTGAAATCCCAGCTGCCTGGAAGGCCAAAAGGCAGGAGGACTCCAAGTTCAAAGTCAGCTAGGACAATTTAGCAAGACACTGTCTCAAATAAATAAACAGAGAGAAATTAAAAAAAAAAAAAAAAAAAAAGCTAGGGATGTAGCTCAGTGGTAGAGGACCCCTGGGTTCAACCTCACCATAGGGGGTGGGAGAATATAGACAACATTAAATTTACTATCTAAATGTTAGGAGAGATATTAAAATACAAAGGGATTTGTAGTATCTTTTTTTAAATTTTTGGTACTGGAGATTGAACTCAGGTACACTCAACCACTGAGCCACAGCCCTATTTTGTATTTTTTTTTTTTTTTTTTTAGAGAAGGGAGGGAGAGAGAGAGAATTTTTTAATATTTATTTTTCAGTTTTCGGCAGACACAACATCTTTGTTTGTATATGAGGTGCTGAGGATTCAACCCGGGCCACATGCATGCCAGGCGAGCGCGCTACCACTTGAGCCACATCCCTAGCCCCCTACTTTGTATTTTTATTTAGAGACAGGGTCTCACTGAGTTGCTAAGCACCTCACTGTTGCTGAGGCTGGCTTTGAACTCTCAATCCTGAGGATGCTCCCAAGCTGCTGAGATCACAGGCATGCACCACCATGCCAAGCTTGTAATATCATTTTAAAAACTTATCATCAGGGCTGGTGTTGTGGCTCAGTGGTAGAGCACTTGCCTAGCCTGCATAAAGCACTGGGTTCCATTCTCAGCATCACATATAAATAAATGAATAAAATAAAAGGTCCATCAATATCTAAAAAGTATATTGAAAACAAAAGGATTTTATATTAAAAAAACCCCTATAACCAAATTAAATGAGTGATTATAACTATGTAGCCTAGACAAAGGATAACTAAAAACAAATAACTGAGCCAACTTTTTATCTATCCAGTAGAGCACTTGACTAACATTTCACTGATGTCAAAAATCCTCTTGGGGGGCTGCAGGTGAGATCCATCTTAAAATCAATACTTCTAGAATAAGAAGAGATATTGTGTTTGCTGACCAACAAGTCTTACAGGGCTCCATTTCAGGCCATTGGAGAACACCCTTTGGAGAAAATGACCATAAAGTTCTGAGCTAAGGGGGGGAAAATATATTAGTCTACTAATATATAGCAAAAACAACACAAAAAGATTAGACTGGAAAGATCTGAAGAACACATTAATTAAAAAAAAAAAAAAACAGTGGCATTTAACACGTGTAATATTACCTGTTCAAAATTTGCAGGGAGATGAGGTCCAAGTCTCATCAGTAAATACCACCAGACTTCTAGCTTTGTTAATGCTAGAGTTTCTGTTCTCACATGGATGGAACTCAAAGGCTGCATTAACAACTTGAGTCTTTTTGCACTACACAGAATATCTTAAAAGAAAATAAGCACAGAGGTGAATATTAAACTTCAATAATAAAGTATGTAAGTCTCTTTTTTCCACAGCAAGACAACATGTTTAAAAAATAAAACAGATTTTCTTGCTGTATCCAAAATTTGTATTCCTATAAAACTCAGTAAGCTGGACTAAAACCAATTAATATGAACAAGCAAGGTCTATTAGATACCGTGTGTTGGATGATTTTCCCAATAATGTCTACAGTATTTTTGGTTATCACAACTGGAGGGATGTTATTAGTATCGAGTGGGCTGAAATCTAGGATGTTGCCAAACTTCCTAAAACACAGCAGACACCCCCAGCAACATATGAACCTATGCAAAATGCCAAAATTGAAAAGCAGTCCTATGTTAGCATTACATCCATTTAACAAAGAAATAGAGGCATTTTTTACATTATGTTAAAAGAGGATATCATTCTTTTAATCAACTAATAACTATTATAAACATTGTTGGCAACCCTGTGTGATGGTGCATGCCTATAAAATCCCAGTGAATACGGAGGTTTAGCCAGGAGTTCAAGGCTACTCTGAGCAACTTAGACTGTGGCTCAAAAATTGAAAAAAAGGAAAAGAAAAAAGTACTGAGGATATAAGGCTCCCCTGAGCTGAATCCCCAGTACCACACACACACACACACACACACACACACACAAAAAAAAAAAACCCACATTGCTAGGGCCACTGATTATGTTTTAGAAACCTAAACAGAATTAGATTCAGATCTACCTTACCTTAACAACAATCAGATTGTTAAAATTCAGCATACAAGTGAATTCTGGTTGTTTAAATAGAAATATATATGTAAGTTGGACCAGGGATATATACATTAAAACATTTAAGTAATATGTGCTCAAGTACCTTGTTAAAAGGTCATGTATTTGGTGGAATAGTTTTCATCAATGTTTCTTAAAACTGCTCTGTCATACAGACATTTCAACTAACACTTCTACAAGAAAATGAAGTTAATCACCTATAATCCCAGCAACTCACAATAAGGTACAGGATCACAATTGTGAGGTCAGCCTGTAAAATTTAGTGAGACCATCACAAAATAATAAATTAAAAGGCTGGGGGTATAACTTAGTGATAGAGTACCCCTGAGTTAAATCCCTAACATGAGGACAAATAAAGAAAATCAACTCTAATCTCTGCAGAACACAAGTTCTCCAGTCCAGGACACTTTCCTTTCTGAATCCTTTTGTCCATGAAAGGGGCTCCAAGTATAATTCTAAAAGATTTTAATCCCCCAAAACTGCCTCATACTGCTGGGTACATAACTAGCTATACCTAAATAATGGTCAGTTAATAAGGATTTCATTTTTAATATTAAAAAAAAAAGTGCCACAAAATATACTTTGATCCTTTTTTCACTGGGGATGGTACAAATCCAGGGCATAACACATGCTAGGCAAGCACTCTACACTAAGCTACATTACTGGCACTTTTTGTTGTTATTTTGAGATAGGGTCTTACTAAATTGCCTAAGCTGGCCTCCACCTGCAATCCTCTTGCCTCAGGATTAAAAAAAAAAAATTCAATATTTTAAATAAATATAACTAGTAATGCAAATAATCACCTTATGAAATATAGAAATATGGAAAGAAAAGGATTAGTGGTCTCTGACAGGGAAAATCAGGATAAAAATAACATTACCTAGTAGATCTTATAAACATAGTACTAATTAAATCTAAGATTAAATGTCACCTACTTAAGTACTCATTCGGACCCACTTTTGGGCCAAATACTCTTCCTCATAAACATACATCAGGATTGAAGGTGTAGCTCAGAGGCAAAGTGCTTGCCTAGCATGTGACTGGGTTTGATCCTCAGCACCACATAAAAATAAAGATATAAAAAGTATTTCAAAAAATACATCAAACAACTCCATTGCACAATAAGGTTATAAGTTCAAAGAAATCAGTTTCATATATTAATGCTAACCCACTATTTGGGACTTGTCTAGAAATGATAGAAAAAAGCTTAGTAACTGGTATTTCACGGCTATCATCGCTTCCTATTCCCTTATGATAAAGTCAATAAATACCTAAGTTTTGACATAATGAGAAAAACTTGTTTAATCTTGCTTAAAAGTAATTCAATGAAAAATAAAAATTTTTATTATTTTAGACCTGCGAACTGAACCCAGGGCACTTTACCACAGCTACATGCCCAGTCCCCCCCCCTTTTTTTTTGGTACTGGGGGTTGAACTCAGGGGCACTTGACCACTGAGCCACATCCGCAGCCCTATTTTGTATTTCATTTGGAGACAGGGTCTTACTGAGTTGCTTAGCACCTCGCTTTTGCTGAGGCTGGCTTTGAACTCAAGATCCTCCTGTCTCAGTCTCCAGAGCCACTAGGATTATAGGCATGCATCACCATGCCCAGCACCACTCCCATTTGAAACAGGTTCTCCCTACATTGCTGAGGGCTTCCCTAATTATAGAAGCTGGCCTTGAACTTGTACCTCAGCCCCCAGGGTTGCTGGGACTATAGGTGTGTGCCACAATGCCCAGTAGAAAAATCAAAAAACTTTGAGTACCTGGATTTAAGGCAAAATTATCTATTAAGCTCTTCCATGCAATAAAAGCTATTTTTTTAATCATGGGTGTTCCGCTACGAAATCCCAGTTCCTCCAAATGTAACAAAGAATTGATGAAACTTCCACTTCGATGCAAAGTCTAAAAAAAAAAAAAGAAACATTAAAAACTTGTTTATCTGAATGAAACAAAATAATTATGGGCACTGTTTTCATTCATTTATTCATTCAACTTAATATATGTCCTTAGGAGACAAAATACATTACCTTCAAAACATAAAATAGATGTCAACTCTTAGGAATTTGAGTTCACAGAAAATATTGAACAGTGAGTATGCTTTCAAAATTCAAGATTACAAAAAAAATACAAAATTCAAATAAAGTATATAACACATAATACAGAATACTTCCACTACAGAGAAAATTAGGAAGGTAGATAAATTCCAAATTTTATCAATGCAATACAATATCAAAGAAAATAGGTACAGGTTGAGTACCCCATAATGGAAATGCTTGGGACCAGGAGTATTTCAGGTTTTAGAAGATTTACATATACATCAAAAGATTATCTTGGGAAGAGAACACAAAATTCATTTGTCCCATACACACATAGTCTAAAGTAATTTTATTCAATATTTTTAGTCCACCGATGTTCTGACAGGGAATTGTTACATGAGGTCAGAAATTTTCCACTAGTTGTGCCAAGTGAGGACATAAAAGTTTTCCAATTATGGAATAATTCAGATTAGGGATGCTCAACCCTGGATCCTCCTGCCTCAGCCTCCAGAGCTGCTGGGATTATATGTATGCGCCATGGCACTTGGCAAGAAGTAATTCTTAAAAGAAGATGCTGGGCATGGTGGTGCACACCTGTAATCTCAACAACTCAGGAAGCTGTGGAGGAGAATAAGTTCAAAGCCAGCTTCACCAACTTAGTAAGACTCTCAGCAACTTAGTGAAAATCTATCTAAAAAATAAAGACGACTGGGAATATAGCTTAGAGGTAAATTGCCCCTGGGTTTAATCCCCAGTACATGCTTGCAAAAGAAGAAAACATAAGATTTGACATTGGATTTAACAGTAACTTCATGAATATGGCTTTGAAAACAAAAGACCATAAAAAACTTCATCAAACTTAAATGTTTGTGTAAAGGTGGGATGGGGGGAAAAGCTCAATGGTACAGTGTGCACTTAGCAGGTAATGATATCCTGGGTTCAATCCCAGCACTACATACACATTTGTCCAAAAGACATTATCAAAAAATCAAAAAGATGCCAGGTTTGGTGGTACACCCCTATATTTCCAGCAACCCTGTAGGCTAAGGCAGGAAGATCACGTTTGAGGCCAGCCTCAGCAACTTGGCAAGATCCTGTCTCAAAATAAAACGTGGTGGGAATATGGCTCAGTGGTAAGCACCTGAGTTCAATTCCAGATACTCCACTTTCCGCGCCCCCAAAAAAGAATAAAGAAAACCTCTATAATGGAAGAAAATACTTGGCAAATCAGATTAACACTGAGAATATATTAAGAACAAAAGACAATCCAACTCAAAAATGGGCATAGGACTTGAATGGGCAATTCTTCAAATACAAAACAAAAGACAAAAATAAATAAAATAAATAAAACCCATATACAGATCAAAAATAGAAATACAAACCAACACTATAGTGAGATACTACCTCATATCCATGTGCATGACCATTATGACACAAAAAAGGAAAGTGCTGGAGAAGATGGTATGTACCTAAAATCCTAGAGCATCCGTCCTATTGGTCATGATGTAAAATAATACACCTGCTGTAGAAAAGCTTAGCAGTTTTTAAAAAATTTCAGCATAGAACTTCCACATGAACCAGTAATTCTACTCTTTTAAAAAAAATTCAAGAACTTGGTCACCAATAGATATTTTCTACAATCGTGTTTACAACAACATTGTTCATTATAGACAAAAGGGAGAAAAACTCCAAATGTCCACCCACATGAGCAGACAGATTAACAAAATGTGGTAAATACATAACAACAGAATATTATTCTGCCGTAAGAACAAATGACATTTTCAAATATGCTGCAACGTGAATGGATCCTACAAACATTATACTTAGTAAAATAAGGCAGGCACAGAAGAGCAAATGTATGGTTCTACATATATCAGGTACCCAGAATAGCAAATTCATAGAAAGTAGAATAGAGGTTAACAGGTAGAGAGGTGGCAGTTATTGCTTAATGGGTAGTTTTTATTGTGGATGAAGAAAAAATTTTGGGTATAGTTGTTAATGCTTATGTAACACTATATTTGTATACTTACAAACACTTAAAATAACTGTGTATTAACACAATAAAAAAGGCAACCCTGCCCAAAGAATTGGCTTTAATTAACACTTGATTTTCATTATTCACAGTATTCATATTGTATAGTCACTTTGAACACAGAAAAAAAAAAGGGCTGGGGATGTGGTTCAATGATTCAGCATTTGTCTGACATTCATGAGACCCTGGGTTCCATTCCCAGTACCATTAAAAAAAAAAAAAAAGAAAGAAATAGAAAAAATCAGCCATCACTATTAAAAGAAAATACAGAGTTGGGTTTTTCTGAGCAAATTCTCTGGTCTCAGAACTTGCATCAACTATTTAATATATAATCTTGTTTTATGTATTTCTTCATGTAAAGGTACCTTACTCAATATATACTAATTCCCTTACTTAATATCTATTATTGATTTCCTAGCATTGAAATGAAAGCCAATAGCATTGTAACTTATGTTAGAATAAAGCTTATTTAACACATGAGTATTTCTTCATAAGGCACATCACAGCCTTCCTGTGCTTAGGAACACTAAAAAAAAAAAAAAAAAAAAAACACAAAAGTTCATGCTCAGGAACACTAAAATATATATAAAGGGTTAGGGATGTGCTTCAGAAGTAAAGCATCCCTAGATTCAATCCCTACCCGGGGAACTGGGGGGAAGACAGGGTATAACCTTGTTGAACTTTGGCTGAGAACATGCACACTGGGTGACTCAAATCCTTTCCCATTCTACATGTTTACAAATTATGAGAAAGCTACAAAAGTACTGATATGGAGTTTACATACAAGTTCTAGTGAGCAGGCAAATTTGCAAATAAGGAAAACAAACTCTGAGAATGGACTGAACTAAAGAAAGTTTAAATGAAAAGGTCTGGCATATAAAAATTGTGAACTGTTCACCTAACTCTGACACTTACCTTTCCAAGAAGTTTGACAAACAAAGGCCACAATTTTAACACGTAGGTCTCATTTTTACTCATAAATAGCTTTTGGAGTTCTGAAATTAATTTCTGTAAGTAAAAGCGAAATATTTACCAAATAGTCTCTTCAAAAGGAAAAAATAATCCAATATCAAAGCCTAGAAATAATTTCTAATACTTGAYTATCAGCCAAATAATCTTTGCCACAATAAAGTACCCTTATTACCTCCCCCCCAAAAAAAACCCAAAAGGAAAAATTTAGAAAATATACCAAACCCGAAAATGTTTTACCATAAATATCTAAATGCCAAAATCTAAATTCTATCATTAACATTTACTTAGCTATGCTTGTCTATCACACATCAGGCCTTCTCATCATTCATCAATCACACTTAATTTCCACCAATATACTGGTAGAAAAACTTTCTCCTAAAAACTTCAGCCTGTACATCATTAGAGTTCAAATGATAGTGTATTAGTTTTCTCACACTAGAAACTTAAAAAAGCAAAAAAACTTTCACAGTATCATAAACAATATGAGAAAATCTTTTTTTTAGTATTTATTTTTTAGTTTTTGGTGGACACAACATCTTTATTCTATTTTTATGTGGTGCTGAGGATCGAACCTAGCGCCCCGCGTATGCCAGTCGAGCGCGTTACCGCTTGAGCCACATCCCCAGCCCATGAGAAAATCTTACTTCAAATTTATTTATAAAGCTGTACATAGGGTACTGAAGATGAATAAATTTATGAGAACAAAACAATTCTCTTTTTTTGATACCAGGGCTGCTTAACCACTGAACCACAACCCCAGGGACCCCCACTTTTTTTTTGAGACAGAGTCTCCCTGAGTTGCTAAGTGCCTCGCTATGTTGCTAAAGCTGGCTTTGAACTTGTGATCTTCCTGAGCTGCTAGGATTACAGGCATGCACCACTGTGCCTGACAAAACAATTCTTAAAGATACTATTTTATTAAACTTTAATCTTCCTGCTCCTGCTCTATCATCTCCCAAGCCTGTTCTCAACAGAGCCAGAATAATCACTTTAAAATTCAAATCAGTATATAATACTTGGAAGCTCAAAACATTCAAATATGACTTTCCTTATAATCCAGAGTAAAAATTGCATCTTTACTATGGTCCCAAGGACCTGTGTGATTAGGTCCTCTGTTTCTCTAACAATATCTTCCACTCTTCTCAACCTCATAATTCTCACTTCTGTCATACTGCCAAGTGTTCGCTGAACACCAAGTTGGTACACAATGTAAGAGCAGAATGGGATCCTCCCCTTTCTTTTGCCAGACAAGGGACTGAATCCAGGGACATTCTTAACAGTTACACCCCCGGGCCCCTTAAACAAAAAAAWATATATATATATAAATATAAACTTGTTTTGAGACAGGGTCTTTTTAAGTTGCCTAGACAGGCCTCAAACTTGGAATCCTCCTGCCTCAACTTCTCCAGTAGCTTTGATTATAGATGTGTACCACCATTCCCTGCAACGAGAATGGCCCTCTGCACTCATGGTTTTCTTGCTCACAATGAGCTTACCCTATATTATCCACATGGCTAACTCCTATACTGTCTTCAAATCACAGCTCCAATGTCCTAATTTTTACCTTCCCTGACCACCTCACCATTTCTCTTTGATGGCAAACTTCAGCCTGTCCCTGTTATTCTATCCTCCATAGTGATCTTCACTTAATACATTATGTGCCTCCCTCATTTCTCATTAGAAAACAAGTTCTATAAGCCTTTTGTTTACAACTATAGTCAACAGTAATGCAATGCATATAGATGCTAAAAGATGTTTACAAGAACAAATGTTGGTAAGCCTAAGACTTGAGGAAAGTAATAACCAGCTAGGAAATTATATGGACTAGATGAGCTTACATGCATGAAAATTCTTAACTACTGGAATTATATAATAACTCAAAAATAACACTGAATTGGGTACTGCTCTCCCTTATTTAGAAATATAATCCCTTGTTGGGGGGGGGAGGCTGGGGTTTTGGCTTAGCGACACTGTGGCTTAGCCGTAGAGCACTCACTTAGCACGCATCACATAAAAATAAATTAAATAAAGGTATTGTGTCCAACTACAAATGGAAAACAGATATTAAAAAAAGAAAAGAAATATAATCCCTTATGTACAGCCTTACCACCCTGAAAGTGCCTGGATGTCTGATCTCAGAAACCAAGCAGGGGTCTGGTTAGAGGATGGGAGAAATGCAATCACTTTCTATTCAACATACATTGAGGATGGGATAAAATATCTACAGTGTATTAAAAATGAATAGACAGTTCATTTCTGTACTGTTATGTATAATTGGTCTACACTAACTTAAGCAACTCTTTGGTTTTTTTTGTTTTGTTTTGTTTTAAGAGAGTGAGAGAGTGAGAGAGTGAGAGAGAGAGAATTTTTAATATTTATTTTTTAGTTCTCGGCGGACACAACATCTTTGTTGGTATGTGGTGCTGAGGATCTAACCCGGGCCGCACGCATGCCAGGCGAGCGYGCTACCGCTTGAGCCACATCCCCAGCCCGCAACTCTTTGTTTTAATTCAATGCTAAACTCCTAGATCACAGTGCAATTAAATCAATGAGCTTAGCTGAATTTGATTTCAAACTGAAACTGAATTTCAAGCTTAGCAAAGAAACTTTTAATACAGTATTTAGAAAATTCTTAAGTAACTTAATGCTTACAGTAGTCATAAGCTGCTCTGTAATAGATGCTATTTCTTGTTGTTTCTGAAGCAACAATGGCATTCCCATCTCCAGAGCAGTGGCTCCCCTCAAATGAACCTTCTGTGCTGAATGAGCCACTAAAGGTATGACCAATTTTGCCCATCTCACTGACTCTTCTCCCATTTGAACTGGAGCTTGTTCAATTAGCCTATAAAGGAGAAATCAATAAGTTAGCTTGAATTCACTTTTTTAGTCTAATCTAGCAGGAAAAATAAACAGCATAATTTAGAATGCATACATAAATTCACCTAGAAAAATACTGTATCACAGATTTGCTGCCACCAATTTTTTTTCTTTTTTGGAAAAAATTGAGGTACAACCAATAAGTTTTTTTGTTTTTATTTTTGTTTTTTTAAGGGAAAAAAAGTCAGTTATCACTTAAAAGTCACTTATTATAGGCTAGGGATATAGCTCAGATGGTAGAGTACTTGCTTTACATGCACAAATCCCTGGGTTTGACCCCCAGAGCGCGCGCACGCGCGCACACACACACACGCACATACACACACACACAAAAATCATTTATTACTGAACTCAGTCTTTGGTGCAAGATTAGAATGCATAAAATATTCATGAATATACACTAGTGTATACTAATGAAGTAGCAACAACTATGTGGTAAAATAAAGATCAAATTTTTCTTGCTAATTTGTATACTGCTTTACTTTTTATGTAAAAATTCTGTTTTTGTGGCAGGATTTAACCCAGGGCCTCCTACGTCCTAAACAAGCACTCTACCATAAAGCTCCATCCCTGGCGTTGTTATTGTTGTTTCTTAATATTTTTAGTTGTAGATGGACATGATAACTTTTATTGTGAGGATGTGTGTGTTGCTGAGAATTGAATCCAGTGCCTCACACACGCTAAGCAAGCACTCTACAACTAAGCCACAACCTCAGCCCTGTACTGTTTTTAAAAGGGAGCCAAGGAACCAGACTATAATATGATCATTAACCACAGGACCAGAAGGTGAAATTAAAACAAACAGCTCAAAAACTAAAGAAAACAAAGAATGAAAAAACAAGTCAAGAGTTTGTGCCACATGTCTGTTAAAAAGTAGGGCTGGGGGCTGGGGATATAGCCCAGTTGGTAGAGTGCTTGCCTTGCATGCGTAAGGCCTGAGTTCAATCCTTACCACTACAAAAAAAAAAAAAAAAAAAAGACTAGGGAAGGGCAAGTAGAAGGGACTTTCCTGCTCCATGCTAGACAACATGACTGCCTTCATAAATACCCTTTTCCAGCCCACTTACAAGGTTGTATTATTTTTTAAACCCTTTAAGAGATTTTAAAAACTTTTAAAAACTTTAAAATTTTTAAAAACTTTATTATGAACAAGACTTTACTTTTAAGACTTTCAGTAAAGACACGCCCCCATTCTTTAACTGTCGATTTCATATTTGAATCTCAGAAAGTTCAATCGTTGAAATAAATTCTAAATTTATAGAAACAGTATTCTAATGTGAATTGCATCCAAACTGCATACCTTATGATAACATTTAATGCTTCAAAATCAACAACGGCAGAATGTATCTCTCCTTTATTAAATACTATTTCTAATGAGTCAATTATACTGGATACCTAAAAGACAGAACCAAATATATACAAATCAAATAAAACAGAACTGTTTTGCTGGCATGTAGATGTAGAGAAGACGTAGAAAAACTGTACTCACCACTTTTCCAACAACTTCAGTGGGGAACGTCTGTTTGGATATTACCCAAAGTGCCCTGGTGCATACATTTTTGTCTGAATTCTTAACAATATTATTCAATTTTGAAAGCAATTCTTGAATATTTGCCTCTGAAAAGCAAGTAGTTTTAATTATAGGAACAGTATACAATCTTTTCTTCTGTGGTACTAGGAATTGAAACCAGCCTAGACCACCAAGTTACATCTGCAGCCCCAATCTTAAAATTTCAAATATAAAAGTAAAGAAAAATACTCTTAAGTCAAAAAAACTAAATACATATTCAGAGAAGGATCAAGGAACCACTACTGATATCAAACTTCCCAAACCCTAAATCCAGATCGAAGTTATCATATTCAGAGAAAACAAAGCACTGAACTCCAAAGCAGATAGTTCACACAAAAATAACCACGGGTATCATTACTAGGTATATGCAATGTTTAGCAAGATATTATAACCTCACACTTCTGCTCCAAGATGAACAACTCGTACTCTAGGGTGCTAACACTTCTATACATAAAAAAAGAATAAGCAGGGCTGTGTGTGGTGGCACTGCTCTATAATCCTGGCAATTTAGCAAGACTCTGTCTTCAAAGAGAAAATAAAAAGGGCTGGTGATGCTAGGTGTGGTGGCGCATTCCTGTTATCCCAGCAGCTCGGGAGGCTGAGGCAAGAGGATCACAAGTTCAAAACTGCCCTCAGCAACTCAGCGAGGTCCTGTCTCCAATAAAACATAAAACGGGCTGGGGATGTGGCTCAGTGGTTAAGTGTCCCTAGGTTCAATCCCCAGTACAAAACAAAGCTGGAAGTAACCCCACTTCCTCAGAAAAACAAATGGTAACAACTTTCTGATCCTTATTACCTATTCCTAATTTCTTCTTCTCTCTAAAGATCACTTCCTAGCCAGGAACATGCCTATATTCCCAGGGGCTTGGGAGGCCAAGACAGGTGGATCGCAGGTTCAAAGCCAACCTCAGCAATGGCAAGGCACTAAGCAACTCAGTGAGACCCTGTCTCTAAATAAAATACAATAGGGCTGGAGATGTGGCTCAGTAGTCTAGAAGTGGTCTGGTACCAAAAAAAAAAAAAAAAATCACTTCCCAGCTTTCCTCTAGGGTAGCAAACTACTTAGTTAAACAACAACAGTTTAGGCTACTTGGAACTTGGAAAGCATCAGGTTCTGGGTTTTCACTACCACTTTTAGTTCACAGTTATACTACATTTCACACTAGTATGAAAGAAACTTCCAAGTAAACATGTTCCTTAGTGTATACACCTAAATAAAACAATCAGATAAGTTATTAACTTCCAAAGACAGCCATGTTTTATTAAAGTTTCTGTTTTTAGCCAAGCACAGTGGCACACACCTGTAATCCCAGCAGCTTGGAAACCTGAGGCTAGAGGGTCCCGAGTTCAAAGGCAACCTCAGCCAAAGCCAGGTGCTAACCAACTCCGTGAGAGACCCTGTCTCTAAATAAAATACAAAATAGGGCTGGGGATGTGGTTCAGTGGTCGAGCCCGCCCCAGTTCAAACCCTGGTACCAAAAAAAAAAAAAAAAAAAAAAAGGTTTTTACATCAATCATATTTATTCTGTGCTAGGGAATTGAACCCAGGACCCTGGCCAATTCAGAGTTGTACCCTCAGTATGCAATTATGTTTAAGCATCTTTATTTTCTACAGCAGATTTCAATCTATCAAATTTAGAACTATGTATGGGTGATGAAGAGATCCAAACATTTCTTGGAAGCAAATCCTAAACTACAAATTATGAAACTAACTCAGTGATAACAATACTTTTATAAAGTTACATTTAAAAATTTAAAAATATTAATAGTCATAATTATCTACCTGATAATCCTGAAGTAATTTTGGGATTATATAAGCAAAACCCCAAGGCCTGTAGAGCAGCACTACACAGTTCTGAGTTTTGACTGGAAATATGACTCTACCAAAAGAAAATCACATTTATCACAAATAAGTACAACTGTAAATAAATTTGTAGAAATCAAAAGTCAATAACAAAACAAGCAAGCTCATAACATTTTGATCTAATCAATCAACAAAATTCTCAGAGCAGGTAAGAACATATGATCAGAAAGTCAACTATAACCCAATTAGGTGGTGCATGCCCATAATCCCGTGGACTTAAGGCTAAGGCAGGAGGACCTCAAATGTAAGGCCAGCCTCAGTAACTTAGCAAGACCCTCAGCAACTGAGCACCTGTTCAGATAACAAATAAGGTTTATGATGTTCCTTAACTGTGTTGTCTTTTTTATTGATGTTTTGCAATTCTGAGGACTGAATCCACAATTAACATGCTAGGCAAGCATTCTACCACTGAGTTATATTTCTAGCTCAATAAAGGTCTGCCTTATCTTCAAGAATGTTGAGTTCTTAAGACAAATCTAGCAGAATTCTGAACAAGAACACAAACATTTTATCTATCTACTATGGTTCCTATTTTGAAGAAATTTAATTATTGTTTGGTTGCTTAACTTACATAGATACCTTCTACTAATTGTCCTAATCTTCCACTTGCTTCCAAATAATTCATTAGCAACTTTACATACAAACTCTACTTAAAAACAGTGCAACTTGACTCAAAATGCATGCAACAGGGTCCGATTCCATGCTTTCAAAAATTAAACACATGAAGATGCATGTCTTCACATCAAATATACTGCTAGAATGTGAAATGTAATAATGAAGAAAAATGAAGTATCGAAGTTAATGTTACTTAATAATACTATTTCCATGTTCGCTTTGGCAGCATACATAGTAAAAATTGGAACAAATCCAGGTATGCTAACACATGCCCATAATCCCAGCCAATTGAGGCTGAGGCATATGATCACAAATTAGAGGCCTAGCCTCAGTAACTTTGTGACATTTTGTCACAAAATAAAAAGCAGAGTATAAATCAATGGTAGAACACCTATGGGTTCCATCCCCAATATACAAGAAAAAAAATTGGAACACAGAGAAGATCAGCTTGGTCCCTATGAATGGATGATAGTCAAATTCATGAAGAATTCCATATTTTTAAAAAATCCTTTAGAGAATTAAAAAAAATAAGATAAAATAATACTGCTGAGGCTGATAGTGCATGCCTGTAATTCTAGCTACTCAGGAGGCTGAGGCAGGAGAATTCCAAATTGGAGGGCAGGCTCCACACCTGGCTAATTTTCTTATTTTTAAAATGAAACAGTTGCTGGGCTGGTGGCTGATGAGGAAAGTCCATAATCTTAGTCACATGGGAGGCTGAGGCAGGAGGATGGAAAAGCTCATGAACAGCCTGGGCAAATTAGCAAGATCCTGTTTCAAAACAAAAAAATTAAAAGGACTAGGACAGTAGCTCAGTGGTACAGTGCCCCTGGGTTCCATTCCCAGTACTGGGAGTTGGAGGGGAAAGGGGATTAAAAAGTTAAATGCTAAGTAAGAAAGGAAAATCAGGAAGCCTCCTAAGTAGTCCACGACAAAAACATATGTTCTTAGTTTGACATTAAACTATGCCACCTCCCTGTAAACAAGCAAAAAAGAAAACTGCAACAGTTTCTAACATAGCAAAAATGGAGGGTGAGTGAAAATAAATTACAAATGCTATTCACAAAGTAGACCTGAGACAATTACTATTTTGGAATTCCTTACTTATAAATAAATTCCCAAAAGGAATGAAAAGAGATTAAATAATCTCGGATCACTGCTTTGATCAGATAAGATTGATAATTCAGGCTGTGGGTTCAAGTGGCCATGGAAAACCTTAGACAAACTAATTTCTCCATCTGCAAAAGTGGAGATTATAGAGCAAACTAGAGGCTGAAGGTATAGCTGAATGAGAAATAGTATGTTGAGGCCATGTTTGATCCTCAGAACTGCCAAAAAGAAAAAAGGAAAAGGTAAACTCATCGAGGTATGAAGAATAATGTGAGAAAAAGCTTGTGAAAGATGTAAAGTAATGAAGAGCCAGGCAATCCGATGATAGCCTGTCTTCACACCTACTCAGGAGGCTGAGGCAGGAGGCCAACACTTCATATACAGTATATTAATCAATAAAAAGGTACATTAACCCAACCAACATCATTGCTTTTATTTTAGAAAAGTTCTTATGGGTCAGCTGGGTGGTTTTTAACACTCAAAACACTATTCAACAGTAGATACAGACCTTTAAAACTTTGTACAGCCGAGGAAGATTTTTCTCAATTTCTATGATGACTTCTTTTCCTTCTTCTCCAGTCATCCGACTTAAAAAGCAGATAGAACAAGAGATTAGGCAAAAGACAAAGTACTGGACACTAACTAACAATATCTCTATAAATGCTTAGAAATGAACTGGCCCAATTCTTATGGTGCTTACGAATATATACTATATGATGCAACACACATCAGAAATAAGAGAGAACACACATCAGAATGACTTTTGCCTCCACAGAGTACCCAAGTTTTGACAGTTTCATCATGTGAAGACAGCAGCGTAATCCCTATCCCAGGTACAAATTTACCAATTTTATCAAATTCTTTACAAAGCTTTAGGCAATTCCTTTTGAAGAATTATGTAACTGAAACAAAAATCAGGCTAGTGGTCCATTAAAAAAAAAAAAAAAATTCTGGGTCGTTATTTCGGGATACACCAGGAGTTCGCAGGGACTTTCGCACTGAAAACCACTCCTCCAACTACTTCCAGCAGAAACTTTAATCCTTTGCTTGCAAGACTCGCGTGCAGTCTCCTTCATTCCAAACAGCTTAAGCGCTGCAGCAGCCCCTGAAACGTCACTTGGCATATACGTCCCCCTCCACCCCACTCATCCCCGGACTCCGGTGTCCTCCTATTTACGAGACTAAAAGAATTCACTCATTCTACGAGTCCCAAACAACCATCTTGCGTCCACCTCCACCGAAGCGCCTCCCACCCCAGCGGGCCTCACCTGGTCAAAGTTAGGTAGGCATCCGTCTGCTCGCCCAGGGAGGCGGAAGAGTCTTCCAGTGTCTCCAACAGCGGCGCGAGAGGGCTCGGACCTGGGGCCGTCATGTCGGCCACCCTAAGGCCGGGCCGGAAAAGGAGAAAAATGTAGTGACCAACGCAAAGAGCCTCACGGCGGCCCAGCGCGAATCCGGCGCTCACACCTTAACACGGGCTCCCGGACTCGCAGTTCCGCGGTGTCCACAGCGCCGGCCTCTAGAGCCCAAACCCGAGCCCTAACCTCCTCCTCCGCCTAGTAACACGCACTGCGGCCCACGCCGCGCTCGGGCCTGGGCCCGCTCCCGCCACCACTTTCCCGGGCAGCATTCAACGGAGGGAGGAGACCGCGCGGGGGGTTGGGGAGGGGCGGGAGAAGACCCGGGAGCGCGGCATCTCGCCGCGAGGGGGCAGAGGCTGCGCCAGGCCGAAGGTTTCCTTGACCTCCCACCGCGCCCGGGATACTTAGCCCTACGTACAATGTTCAGGACAGCGTCCTCTCCGCCACTGCGCCGCTGCACTTGCAGGCTGCCAAAGCCTGACTTTGGCGACTCGGGCAGTTTACTCACGCGTGCGACAAGCTCCCTCCTGGACCAAGATGGCGGCGGGGGCGGGCCCAGGAGCGCGCGGGAGTAGGACAGGCCTGGCGGGAGAGGTTCGAGCCAATCCAACAGGCAGCGGCGCGCCGGAGGCGTCGATCGCCTCGCTTCTTTGCTCAGCTCCCCCACCCCGCCCATCCCCTGAGGTCACCTTCAGGTGGGGATGTTTTATCCAAAGAAATGGACTTCATTTTCAAAATGTAAATTCGGCCCAAATTTACCAGACGAATGAGTGAGACTTCAGACCAAGTGCTCAAACTCCAAGTTTGAAATATTAACGAGCAGATCACTTAGCAAAAGGGCATAATGCACTGTTAAATGTAAGATGAAGAGTTGCATCTCAAGCACGTCTTGGTTCAACCCCTGGTTGGGTTTGTCCTTAGGAATATAATTATCCTTTCTGTACCTCAATTTCCTTCTCTGTAAAATAGGGCAAATAACAATAACTGGTGCAAGGTGTAGCGTGAGAAGCTAGGCCAACCGTCCTCAAGCTTTCAGTGAACATAACAATGGCCTGGAGGTAGGAGCTATTAAAGTGCAAATTTCGGGCCCGGACCTTCGACTTGATGATTCTATTGACTTAGGTAATTCCCAAAGATTTGCATTCTTCTGTTGGAGTAGGGGTTGGCAGGAGCTTCATACTTGGAGTGTAAATCCTTAAGTTGATCTTATTATTATTACTATTTTGCTCCCCTTTTCCTTGTGCGGCTGAGCTTTCCCCACAGCCGGCAGGATTCAAATAGAGCACCGAAGGCCCAGAGAGCAACACAATGTTTCCACTCTGGCATCACGTGTTCCTGGCCTTGCTTCTGAGCCACCCCCACCCCCACACAAGTACACACAATTCAAGGATTAGCTCTACAGCTCAAGGTTGCTTTTTGCTTTTCTGTTATTTGTGTTTAGCAAAATTTATGCCATACCAACCATTCAGTACATAATTTGTTAAGTGAAAAAATGAGGGCAGAGGGAGAGGGAGAGAGGGAAACATATAAGGCCTAGTGAGCGAAACTTTCAAATGAAAGGCTTAAAAATGGTGAACAAAGCTGGGCATGGAGGGGCACGCCTATAATCCCAGCCCTCAAGACGCTGAGGCAGGAGGATCCCAAGTTCAAAGCCAGCTTACAGAATTTAGAGAGCCCCTGTCTTAAAATAAAAAATTAAGAGGGCTGGAGATGTGGCTCAGAGGTTAAACATCCTTGGGTTCAATTCCCAGTACCAAAAAAAAAAAAAAAAAAAAGTGAAATGGTGAATCTGAAATGCAAAGACTGGGTGGAAACAGGCTGAGAAAGCTTTGAGAAGCCATTATCTTTTAGAGGGAAATTTGGTCCTCCTTTTCTGGGCTTTGGTAAGAAAGGAATGTGTTTTAAAAGGACAAGTTATTAGTGAAAATGAAAAGTATGGACAGGCTTGCGGTACTTAGACTTTAGTTAAAATGTAACTGTTGTGTCTATGATGACTTTGAGAATTGTGAAAAGAACCATTGAGTTTCTCTTAAGAAAGGTATCTTTTCCCAATCATTATATTCCTTACTCTGCTTTATTCCTTGTAGCACTTATGACTAACTCATATTATGTATCTATCATTTATAGTCTGCCTCTCCTTGCTAGAATATAAATTCTACAAGAGTAGGGCTTGTACACTTTTCCCCTTTAAGTTTTTCATTTTTAAAGAAGGGGCTGTGACTTTTTCAAAAGTATAGTTTCTGGATCTGTTTAAAATGTTTTGTTTTATAATCCTCACTCCTGTGCCAAAAATCCTCCAGCAATTTCCATCAATTATAGTATGGATCTCTAAAGCCTTGGCATAACATGCCAGACTATTATGATTGGGTCACTGCTCTCTTTCATCACCACACTTTTCCCCCACATTGCTTAGCCACAGGTTTTGGACAGTCCACCAGATCTTCAAATTTTCTGATTTTGAATATTTCATGTGTTTTGAACATTCCTCTTTTCAAAAGTGAAGGGTCAATCAAAACCACTCCTTTGTATAAAATCTCTCCCTCACCTACTATCCCCTGATGGACATTCCTCCCATAGAAATTTAAATGCTCAGGTCTCATTCTATAGATCTGTTAAAATGAGTATCACATTAATTAATTATTGTTAGGTCATAGATTTTGGCAGTAGCAGCACCTCAGAGGGCTTAGTTCAACCTATAATCTCAAAGAATACCCTTCCCTGCTGTTTGGTCATTTTCTCAATCTGATCTAAATTGCTAAGAGTTTATTAAATCAAAACAAATCCCCTCCCCCACCTTCACCCTTCTCCACACATCCTTCCAACCTGATTGTTAGCTCCATGCTTCACTTTTATACAAATTACCATAGACCTCCACCAGGCCTCCTGGGTCAGGCCTTTAATCCCAACTACTCAGGAGGCTGAAGCAGAAAGATCACAAATTAAAATCCAGGCTGTGCAACTGAGATCCTGTCACAAAATAAAAAATAAAATGAGCTGAATAGGTTGCTCAGTGGTAGAGCACCCTGGGGCTCAATTCCAAGTATTGAAGGACAGGGGTGAGGATGTAGAGAAAAAAGAGAAGGGAGTCTTGTTTATTCCCCAGTCCTGGAGATTGACTACTAGGAGGCTCTATCCTTGAGCTATATCCCTAACCTTTTTAGTTTTTTTATTTTGACACAGTGTCTTACTAAATTGCTGAGGCTGACCTTGAACTTGCAATCCTTCTCCCACAGCCTCCTGGGTTGATGGGATTAGACTCATGCATGGTGCCTGACTGAGAGAAAGGAATTACTGCAAACTATTGGTAGGCATGTAAATTAGTACAGCCATTATGGAGAAAAGTATAGAGGTTCCTCAAAAAGTTAAAAATAGAACTACCATATGGTCCTGCAATGACCACTGGGTATATATCCAAAGGAAATGAAATCAGTATGGCAAAAAGACATCTCCAGGGCTGGAGATGTGGCTCAGCGGTAGCGTGCTCGCCTGGCATGCGTGCGGCCCGGGTTCGATCCTCAGCACCACATACCAACAAGCATGTTGTGTCTGCCGAGAACTAAAAAATAAATATTAAAAATTCTCTCTCTCTCTCTCTCTCTCTCTCTCACTCTCTCTCCTCTCTCACTCTCTTTAAAAAAAAAAAAAAAAAAAAAGACATCTCCACTCTCATGCTTATTGCAGCACTACACATAATAGCCACACACACACACACAAAAAAAAAAAAAAACAAAAACAAAAAAACCTATTTGGCATAGTGATACAAAACAGTAATCCAAACTAATAGGGAGGCTGAGACAGGAGGATCATAAGTTAGAGGTTAGTCCTGCCAATTTAACCAGAACCTGTCTCAAATAAAAAAAAAATACAAAGGGCTGGGGGTGTGGAATAAGTTTTCGTTCTTGTTTTTCAAATCTCTACTAAACATCCCAAAAAGAGAGAGAAAAGGAAAGGGAGTGGGAGTTTATCTTAGTGGTAGATCACTTGCATGCACAGGCTAGAACTGCAAAAGAGGAAAAACAGAAACAGGTCTATTATACAGTGTGGCAAATATAATAATAGCTTATTGTACACTTCAACTTTTCTAGGAGAATAAATTTCTTATCACAAAAAATGATAAGTATTTGAGGTGATGGATATGTTCATTAGCTTGATTTTATTAATCCACATTCATAAATTGTAACATCACWTTGTACCCAATAATATATACAATTGTAATTTGTCAATTTGCAATAAAATAAAAACGCAAATAGTACACTGCTGACAAATGCCACACTGCAGCAGTTTGAGAGAACTTTATTTCTTTGTTTGCTATGATTTATACATAATGGGAAAAATATCTTTTGAATCCCATAGTATGATGTAAATTTGTGTTCTATTTATCTTTTTCCTTCTTTTTTCTGTGGGCAAGGGTCGGGGTGGGGAGGATTGAACTCAGGGGCACTTGGTCTCTGAGCCACATCCCTAGCCCTATTTTGTATCTTTGTATCTTATTTAGAGACAGGGTTTCCCTGAGTTGCTTAGAGCCTTGCTTTTGCTGAGGTTGCTTTGAACTCATGATCCTCCTGCCTCAGCCTCCCAATTAGCTGGGATAATAGGCATGCACCACAGCACCCAACCCAAGAATGATTCTTTTTTAAAAATATTTTAGTTTTCGGTGGACACAACATCTTTATTTTATTTTTATCTGGTGCTGAGGATCGAACCCAGCGCCCCGCCATGCCAGGCGAGTGCACTACCGCTTGAGCCGCATCCCCAGCCCCCAAGAATGATTCTTTACTCAATAAAATATTAAATAATAGGGCTGGGGCTGTAGCTCGGTTGGTAGAGTGCTTGCCTAGCACATGTGAGACACTGGTTTTTATCCTCAATACCACATAAAAATAAAATAAAGGTATTAAAAATATATTAAATAATAAATTTTAAAAGAAAGAAGAAGAAGAAGTGGAGTATAAGTTCTGAGAGACATTTGAAATGTTAGCTGCATAATAATAATTTTTACTGGCTTTTTAAAAGTCATATATTGAGGCCTTTTTAGTTTTTAGTTGTAACTGTTGTAAAATAACTGTGTTGCTGAAAGCATCCCCAGATAGACTTCTCAACAACTGATAATTTTTTWAAAAAAATATTTTTTAGTTATAGGTGGATAAAATGTCTTTATTTTATTTTTATATAGTGCTGAGCATCGAACTCAGTGCCTCATGCATGCTAGGCAAGTGCTCTACCTCTGAACCACAACCCCACCCAGCCCCTGATAATTTTTTTTTAATTAAGATTATTTCATCCCAAGCTGGGGATATAGCTCAGTTGGTAGAGTRCTTGCCTCTCATGCACAATGCCCTAGGTTCTATCCCCAGCACCACAAAAAATAAATAAATAAAAGAGATTATTTCATCCCATCATTATTTCATACACAATAAATATATACAGCTAATTACATGTTTTATGACTAGTATGGGTTAGTATGGGTTTGCTACCCTTGCAGTCAGACATACTTTAAAATGTTACCAAGTTGCA